GCTTCTGGTGATGCTAATATAAAGGTAAAGGGACCCCTGACCATTAGGTCCAGTCGCGAACGACTCGGGTTGCGGCGCTCATCTCGCTTTACTGGTCGAGGGAGCCGGTGTACAGCTTCTGGGTCATGTGGCCAGCATGACTAAGCCACTTCTGGCGAACCAGAGCAGCGCACGGAAACGGCGTTTACCTTCCCGCCGGAGTGGTACCTATTTATCTACTTGCGCTTTGACGTGCTTTCAAACTGCTAGGTTGGCAGGAGCAGGGACCGAGCAATGGGAGCTCACCCCAGCGTGGGGATTCGAACCACCGACCTTCTGATCGGCAAATCCTAGGCACTGTGGTTTAACCCACAGCGCCACCCACATACCTAATATAGCACATTTCAAATGCGCAGCATCTTGCTGCATCCTGAAGGAGCGTCTCCACCCCCATCATTCTGCCCGGACGCTGAGGTCCAGCGCTGAGGGCCTTCTGGTGGTTCCCTCATTGCGAGAAGGAAAGCTACAGGGAACCAGGCAGAGGGCCTTCTAAATGTGGTGCCCGCCCTGTGGAACGCCCTCCCACCAGATGTCAAAGAGAGAAACAACTACCTGACATTCAGAAGACATCTTAAGGCAGCCCTGTTTAGGGAAGTTTTTAATGTATGACATATTAGTGTATTTTTGGTCTTTGTGGAAGCCGCCCAGATTGCGGCTGTCCTATTGCACGCAGGGGCGAGTGTCCCGAGGCTGAGGTTCTTCTCTAAATTTGATCCCAAGGAGAGATCGGTGGTGGCATCTCTCAGCCCACAATGGCCCACGGCGGCGGTCTCAGCTGCTGCCTTGCCACCGCTCAAGCCCAGGAGGCCTGACATTTGCCAGGTGCCTGCCTGCTATGCATTCATCTTTGGAACAGTCCGCTCCCTGCTTGCCTTTCCCTCCCAGCCTGAAAGGTTTTTAATCTAAAGGAAAAGTGCTGTCTGAAGTTAAGCCTCTTGCACACGCATGAATTGTGCTCCATTGCAACAAAGGGTTTGACATTTTGGAGCAATGCAAGCAGGGGATCTGGCAAGGGGGTTATTTAAGCCGCCTCTCTGCAAGGATGCGCACACACACACCCGGCCGCCTCTTGCTGGCTAGAGTGCACCAAAGGGCCAGCTTGACCCAGCCTGGCCCTCGGGGTGGTTGCACAGGGCTGCCGGTGCCCACCCTGCCAAGCACGCCAGCCAATGCCCAGCCGCCGCAGTGGTGGGGAGCCAGCCCCGCCGGGCTGCGATTGGCTGCGAGGTGGCATGGAGACAAGAGCGGCCTGCCTGTCACCCTCCCCTCTCCCTCCCCACCCAAATCCTTGCCGAGGGTGACTTTCAGCCTCCATGCTCACTCCCCATTGGCTTCCGGCCGCAGCCAATCCCCGTCCCCCAACCAGCTGGGCATTAACCCTTGCGCGCCAGCGCGGTGTTGCAGGCAGATGCGCCTTTGCGCATGGATAGACCACAGGTTGCCAAGCTCGGCGGGGAAGGAGGGCGGCGGCGGGGGGATAAAGCGGTTCTGGCAGACAAAGCAGCTTGCAATTGGTTCTCCTCTAATAGCACCACCTCATGTTGTTGTTTAGTCGTGTCCGCCTCTTCGTGACCCCCTGGACCAGAGCACGCCAGGCACTCCTGTCTTCCACTGCCTCCCGCAGTTTGGTCAAACTCATGCTGGTAGCTTCGAGAACACTGTCCCACCATCTCGTCCTCTGTCGTCCCCTTCTCCTTGTGCCCTCCATCTTTCCCAACATCAGGGTCTTTTCCAGGGAGCCCCATAGCACACGAATTCAAGTGCACCGTAACTCATCCCTGGGGTTTTCTCCTGCGCAAGCCCCCTTTGTCCCAGGCTGTCTGAAGCGCCGTATCCTGCGCCCCCCTCCAATATGAACCTGCCCAGGCCCTAGGTCTTCAGAAGAGACCCTTCTCTCAGGTCCCCCACCCTCTCAGGACCCCATGGTGAGGATGCAGGAAAGGGCCTTCTCGGTGGTGGCTACTTCCAAGCAACTTTGGAACTCCCTGTCTAGGGACGCCAAGCTGGTTCTCTCCTTGCTGTCCTTCCACCACCAAGTGAAAACCACCGAGGGGAGGGACACAACCCTTTCCAGTGAGTGAACCACAAGGTGAAGTGAACAGCCCCAGTGTGAACAGTGAGTGAACAGCCCCATTGTTGTTGTTTAGTCGTTTAGTGGTGTCCGCCTCTTCGTGACCCCCTGGACCAGAGCACGCCAGGCACTCCTGTCTTCCACTGCCTCCCGCAGTTTGGTCAAACTCATGCTGGTAGCTTCGAGAACACTGTCCCACCATCTCGTCCTCTGTCGTCCCCTTCTCCTTATGCCCTCAATCTCTCCCAACATCAGGGTCTTTTCTAGGGAATCTTCTCTTCTCATGAGGTGGCCAAAGTCTTGGAGCCTCAGCTTCAGGATCTGTCCTTCCAGTGAGCACTCAGGACTGATTTCCTTCAGAATGGAGAGGTTTGATCTTCTTGCAGTCCATGGGACTCTCAAGAGTCTCCTCCAGCACCAGAATTCAAAAGCATCCATTCTTCAGCGATCAGCCTTCTTTATGGTCCAGCTCTCACTGCCATACTACTGGGAAAACCATAGCTTTAACTATACGGACCTTTGTTGGCAAGGTGATGTCTCTGCTTTTTAAGATGCTGTCTAGGTTTGTCATTGCTTTTCTCCCAAGAAGCAGGCGTCTTCTAATTTCGTGACTGCTGTCACCATCTGCAGTGATCATGGAGCCCAAGAAGGTAAACTCTCTCACTGCCTCCATTTCTTCCCCTTCTATTTGCCAGGAGGTGATGGGCCCAGTGGCCATGATCTTCGTTTTTTTGATGTTGAGCTTCAGACCATATTTTGCGCTCTCCTCCTCTAATAGCACCACCTGATAGGGTGAGGGTTTTCTCACTGGCCCTCCTGGCTGATTCCACTGGTGATATCAGGGGCACCAATATCATTATGGAGAGGAAGATGAGGAAGTGGACCGGGTGGGTGGTGAACTGTAGAAGTGCCACCAGCCCTTTTGCTCCACGGAGATGATCCTGAAGGAAAAAGTCTTCTTGGGAACCATGGGAAGGAGGGAACTAGCAGGACTCAGGTGCCATCTGGTGTTCAGCCAGAAAAATCAACAACATTAGGATTTCGCCTCTCCACTGAAGGAACTTCGCAAGAACATAACATCAGAATATTGGAGGAGCCTGCAAGATGAGGCCAAGTGCCCATCTAGTTCTTGCAGGAGCCAATCAGGTTGTTGTGTTATTTAGTCGTGTCCGACTCTTCGTGACCCCCTGGACCAGAGCACGCCAGGCCCTCCTGTCTTCCACTGCCTCCCGCAGTTTGGTCAAAGTCATGCTGGTAGCTTCAAGAACACTGTCCCACCATCTCGTCCTCTGTCGTCCCCTTCTCCTTGGGCCCTCCATCTTTCCCAGCATCAGGGTCTTTTCCAGGGAGTCTTCTCTTCTCATGAGGTGGCCAAAGTCTTGGAGCCTCAGCTTCAGGATCTGTCCTTCCAGTGAGCACTCAGGGCTGATTTCCTTCAGAATGGAGAGGTTTGATCTTCTTGCAGTCCCCTAATTGGAAACCAGCAAGCAGTATCCGGGCACAAGAGCCGTCTTGGCTCCTGTGGCTTCCAGCAACTGGTGTTCAGAGCAGAGGGCTAGGAGCCATTGGTAGTCTCCTCCTCCTCCATGAATCTGTTTAATCCTCTTTTAAAGCCATCCACGTTGGTGAGAGAGCGAGTTCAAGTGGGAAGATGGCACTTCTGGGCACCACAGTTTAAGAAGGACATGGACAAGCAAGAAGGTGTGCCGAGGAGGGCGACCAAGATGATGGAGAGTCTGGGGGAACCAAGCCTGGTGAGGAGCGGTTGAAGGAGCTGGAGACAAGGACAAAACAAAGTCCACTGGAGAAGAGGAGACGGAGAGGAGATAGGATAGCCATTTTCAAATGCATAAAGGGGTTGTCAGTTGGAAGATGGAGCAAGCTTGTTTTCTGATGCTCCAGAGGGGACTCTAACCAATGGGTTTAAATTGCAAGAAAGGAAATTCTAAGTAAACCTTAGGAATAACATTGTATTTTAATATTTTGTTGGAAGCCGCCCAGAGTGGCTGGGGAAACCCAGCCAGATGGGCAGGGTATAAATAATAAATTATTCTTATTCTTATTCTTATTACAGTCATGCCTCGGGTTACAAACACTTCAGATTGCATTTTTTCGGTTTACAGACCCGCCAAAACCTGGAAGTACTGGAATGGGTTACTTCCGGGTTTCGGCAGTCACGCACACACAGAAGCACTAAATTGTGCTTTGTGCATGCGCAGAAATGCCGAATCGCAACCCGTGCATGCGCAGACGCGCCACTGCGTGTTGCAAACATGCATCCCGCACGGATCACATTCACAACCCGAGCGTCCACTGTATTGTAAAAGCTGTTTGACAGTGGAGGTGACTACCTCAAAGATGGTGGGCTCACCCACATTGGAGGTTTTTAAGCAGAGATTGGATGGCCATCCCTCAAGGGTTCCTTAGCTGGGATTCCTGCATTGCAGGGGGTTGGACTGGATGACCTTTGGGGGTACCTCCAATTCCACAGTTCTGTGACTCTGTGACTGTATGTGCAGGCAGAACATCAAAAGTTGCCATTATGCCAGCTCAGACTAGCTAAGAGCTGTTCATATGCCTAATGTTTTGGACTACAATTCCCATCAGCCCCGGCGAGAACAGCTGCATGGTGCTGGGGCTGATGGGGATTGTAGTCTGAAACATCTGGAGGACATCCAGTTCGGGGGAAGGCAGGCCTGCAGGGACCTCCAGCAGTTCTGCGGGTTCTTAGAGCACGGTGTTTCTCAGTCTGGAGGGATTTAAGATGAAATCATCTGTGCTTCACCACTAAACATGACACACACACACACAAACAAACACACGAACCAGAACTGAAGCTCGCAGGAAGAACATTACAGAGGGATTTTTTTGAATATGACTTTGGACTGGAGGCAGTGTGGCACAGTGGTTAGAGTGTGGGACTAGGAACTGGGAGACCAGGGTTCGAATCCCCACCCACAGGCCTTGAAGCTGACCTTGGGCCAGTCCCTGCCTCTCAGCCCAACCTACCTCACAGGGTTGTTGTGGCGAGACCTTGTACGCCCCATTGAGCTCTTTAGAGGAAAAGGCCACAAATGCAACGAATAACAATAAAACATCCGGAGGGCACCCAGTTGTGGAAGGCTGTTGAGCAGCAAGGCGTCCCTCAGGACTAACCACGTGTGCCTCTCTCACTGGGCCTTTGTCTGGGCTTGGCCAGCGGCCAGCCAGACTCCTCTCTCCGCACGTGGCCAGCGACATATGAAGTCCCCACGGATGGTTCCCGTCTTGAAATTGGACTCCTGGAGACAATAATGGAGCTGGGGAAGGAGTGAGGGTTCCTCGGATGGGAGCTTGGGGAGGCAACAATTGTCTCTTTCTGGCTGCTTTTCATCAGCAGCAAAACAAAGGCCGCTGGAGAAGACTTTCTGAGTTGCAGCAACAGCCTGCGCAGCTGAATCTCTCTATCTCTCTTTTAAAATAATTTTTATTGATTTAACATATAAATTGGGACGCGGGTGGCGCTGTGGGTTAAACCACTGAGCCTAGGGCTTGCCAATCAGAATGTCGGTGGTTCAAATCCCTGCAACGGGGTGAGCTCCTGTTGTTCGGTCCCCGCTCCTGCCAACCTAGCAGTTTGAAAGCACGAAGTGCAAGTAGATAAATAGGTACCGCTCTGGCGGGAAGGTAAACGGCGTTTCCGTGCGCTGCCCTGGTTCGCCAGAAGCGGCTTAGTCCTGCTGGCCACATGACCCAGAAGCTGTACACCGGCTCCCTTGGCCAATAAAGCGAGATGAGCGCCGCAACCCCAGAGTCGGCCACGACTGGACCTAATGGTCAGGGGTCCCTTTACCTTTACCTTAACATATAAATTATAAAATGTACCACAAAACTTATCACTTATACAAGCTTTTTAGACTTCCATCAGCACCTCTGATGATCCACCGTTTTAACCTCTTCTTATGCATTTCTTAACTTTATATTGCCTTTAAGTCTCTTAACAAATCATCCTTCCCCTTCTCCATTTTTGCAATACTTCCAATCATACTCCCCACAAAACTTCTTGCAAGCCTACAAACGTCGTCTGAGCTTCAGAAATACTTTTCAAATAGTCCGTAAATTTACTCCAGTCTTCCGTGAATTTCTGGTCCCGCCGGTTTCGAATCCTTCCTGTTAGTTCATCTAGTTCTGCATAGTCCATTAACTTCATCCTCCATTCTTCAATCATTGGTAATTCTTCTTGCTTCCATTTTTGGGCCAGTAATATTCTTGCTGCTGTTACTGCATATAAAAAGAGCTTATATTCCTTTCTATTTATATCACTCCCAACAATGCCCAGTAAAAATGCTTCTGGTTTCTTTATAAATGTATATTTCAACATTTTTTTCATCTCATTATATATCATCTCCCAGAATCATTTCACCTTTTTACATTCCCACCACATGTGATAAAATGTTCCCTCTTTTTCTTTACATTTCCAACATTTATTACTGACTTTATACATTTTCGCTAACTTGACAGGTGTAATATACCATCTATACATCATTTTCATCACATTTTCTTTTATGCATGCAGTAAATTTTAAACCTTCTTTCCATAATTTTACCCAGTCACTCAGCTGTATATTATACCCAAAATCTTTGGCCCAGTGAATCATAACCAACTTAACCTCCTCGTCCTGCAAATGCCGTTCAAGCAGCAATTTATACATTTTAGACAAAATTTTAGAATCATGCGCAGCTGAATCTCAGGGCTCTTACAGTGGCATAAGAAGAGCCAGAGGAGACCCATCTCCTGTTCTCACCATGGACCAAATGCCCCATAGAACCCAGGAATCCATGAAGATGATGGACTTTCCGGAGCTAGCCGACCTGACTGGAAGAGTCCACGACCCAAAGGAGGAGTACCAGAAGGAATGGGTGAAATTTAAAGACTATTAAGTTAAATATGCTTTGTTGTTGTTTAGTCGTTTAGTCGTGTCCGACTCTTCGTGATCCCCTGGACCAGAGCACGCCAGGCCCTCCTGTCTTCCACTGCCTCCCGCAGTTTGGTCACACTCAGGCTGGTAGCTTCAAGAACACTGTCCAACCATCTCATCCTCTGCCGTCCCCTTCTCCTTGTGCCCTCCATCTTTCCCAACATCAGGGTCTTTTCCAGGGAATCTTCTCTTCTCATGAGGTGGCCAAAGTCTTGGAGCCTCAGCTTGAGGATCTGTCCTTCCAGTGAGCACTCAGGGTTGATTTCCTTCAGAATGGAGAGGTTTGATCTTCTTGCAGTCCATGGGACTCTCAAGAGTCTCCTCCAGCACCATAATTCAAAAGCATCAATTCTTTGGCGATTAGCCTTCTTTATGGTCCAGCTCTCACTTCCATACATCACTACTGGGAAAACCATAGCTTTAACTATACGGACCTTTGTTGGCAAGGTGATGTCTCTGCTTTTTAAGATGCTGTCTAGGTTTGCCTTTGCTTTTCTCCCAAGAAGCAGGCGTCTTTTAATTTCGTGGCTGCTGTCACCATCTGCAGTGATCATGGAGTTAACTATGCTAAGATAACTTAATTGCAAAAACCTGCAAATACCAGATAGGCTTAGGATTTAAATATGTGATGTTAGAGAACAATATGTTTAAGGTTAAAATGAAAAGAAAGAAAGATGTTAAGTGATTAAGTTAACTTTTATGAGAAATTTGGTTTTGGAAAACTGTTACAATGATATACACCGAAACCCAGCCAGGGGGATGCGAGGAAGTCACTTAACAATGTTACTAAGATTGGAGTAAGTACAGCTAAGATTTATGTTTGTTTGTTTAAAATTCTGGAAAATTAACAAAAAAATTTGAAGGAAATAAAAAGAACACAGGAATCCAGATAGACTGCTCCTGGGCCTGGAGGTTCCATGAGAACAAAAGAGTAAGCCTGGCTGCCGGATCAGACCAGCAGCCCATTGAGTCCAGCCTCCTGCTCTCGCCATGGCCAACCAGATTCCCCAGTGGAAAACCAGAATCAGGATTCGAACACAAGACCAACACTCTCCCCTCCTGTGGTTTCCAGAATCTTTGATTCAGAAGCATGGCTGACCGTGGAGGCAGAGCAAAGCCATCCTGGCTAGGGGCCAACGGTCCAGGGATGCATTATTTGTTTATTTTATTTGCATCCTATTTTTTTCTCCAAGGAGCTCACAGTGGCCTACACGGTCCTCCTCTTACTCATCTAATCCCCGCAATGATCGTGCAAGGTAGGTCACTCTGAGAGGGGCAGTGACTGGCCCCCCAGGTCGCCCAGGGACCTTCATGGCCAATGAGTGGGAGAAATAATAATAATAATAATAATAATAATAATAATAATACAGTGGTACCTCAGGTTACATACACTTCAGGTTACAGATGCTTCAGGTTACAGACTCCACTAACCCAGAAATATTACCTCGGGTTAAGAACTTTGCTTCAGGATGAGAACAGAAATCGTGCTCCGGCAGCGCGACAGCAGCAGGAGGCCCCATTAGCTAAAGTGGTGCTTCAGGTTAAGAACAGTTTCAGGTTAAGAACGGACCTCCGGAACGGATTAAGTACTTAACCCGAGGTACCACTGTAATAATAATAATTTATCATTTATACCCCGCCCACCTGGCTGGGCTTCTCCAGCCACTGTGGGCGGCTTCCAACAAAATATTAAAACACAATAACCTATTAAACTTTAAAAGGTTCCCTGAACAGGGCTGCCTTCAGATGTCTTCTAAAAGTCTGGTAGTTATTTTTCTCTTTGACATCTGGTGGGAGGGCGTTCCACAGGGCGGGTGCCACCACCAAGAAGGCCCTCTGCCTGGATCCCTGTAACCTCACTTCTCGAAGGGAGGGAACCGCCAGAAGGCCCTCAGCACTGGACCTCAGTGTCCGGGTAGAACGAGAATCCGAACCCTGCTCCTTCCCAGGTCCGAATCCCATCACTCTAACCCAGAGCTTTCCAAACTTTCCCTGTTGGCGACGCCCCTTTTAGACATGCCTCATTTCACAACACAGTAATTCAGTTTTACTAGCAAACTGGATCTTAAACTAACCCCTTCCCAGCCCTGCGGGAGCATTTACACGATGCACCTGCACACTGCAAGCCGGCACACCAACGTGTCGCGACGCACGGTTTGGAAAGCTCTGCTCTAACCACTGCAGCACACTGTCTCTCTTCAAATGTATGAGCCGGCTGTGACCTTACTGGTTAGACTCGTTTTAACTGAATGTTAAAAAGCAAAGACATCACCTTGCCAACAAAGGTCTGTATAGTTAAAGCTATGGTTTTCCCAGTAGTGATGTATGGAAGTGAGAGCTGGACCATAAAGAAGGCTAATCGCCGAAGAATTGATGCTTTTGAATTATGGTGCTGGAGGAGACTCTTGAGAGTCCCATGGACTGCAAGAAGATCAAACCTCTCCATTCTGAAGGAAATCAGCCCTGAGTGCTCACTGGAAGGACAGATCCTGAAGCTGAGGCTCCAAGACTTTGGCCACCTCATGAGAAGAGAAGACTCCCTGGAAAAGACCCTGACGTTGGGAAAGATGGAGGACATAAGGAGAAGGGGACAACAGAGGACGAGATGGTGGGATGGTGTTCTCGAAGCTACCAGCATGAGTTTGACCAAACTGTGGGAGGCAGTGGAAGACAGGAGTGCCTGGCGTGCTCTGGTCCAGGGGGTCACCAAGAGGCGGACATGACTAAACGACTAAACGACAACAACAACAAATATCTAAGCACTCGAGAGATGGACAACGTCCTATCCTCTGGGCAGACCATAGTATTGTATCTCCTGGCTTTCCCTTCTTGCGACCAATGACAAACTGATCCATGCTGTTCCGCCCTGCCCCACTCCATACAGCCCCCACCCCATGCCCAGACATGGCCACACTCAGTTTGCATTGCTTCCACACCAACTTGTGCTCTTGCGCAACATTATAGTTTGGTTTTGTTTTCAGGTGAATCTTGCTGCCTTTCTTGACTCGCGGAGAGTGCTCATGCAAGACGATCAGAATATGTCGTATTTGCCAAACTGTTAGAGTATATTGAACTGGCTAGATTAACGGAGGCAATTAGAGGTCACACTAGACAAGAGTTTCAAAAAGCATGGGGGAAATGCAGAGAATACTTCACAAAACAGTGCCCTAAAATACATACCTGGACTTGTTTGGATTAATATCTGCAGGAGACTTTGTGGATATTTAAGTTATAATTAGAAAAATCTTAATAATTAGTCATAAAGGAAACAGCTTATAAGAAGTAAATAAGGAGGCCAGATACAGGATAAAGGAAGTCTTTTATTTGGTTATTTGTATTGTTTTGTTATGTTTATTGTATTCTGTACTGGGTGGGGTGGGGGGTTTATGTTATGTTGTAAATAAAATTTCCAATAAAAATAATAGAATATATTGTGTTTTCTTTTCTCTTCTCTCTCTTTCACTTTCTCTCTCTTTTTCTTTCTTTTTAGTGTTGATATTGACATTGACCTTACTGGTTCATTTGTTCTGCTGCTGCTGCTGCTATTACGTTATTTAAACGGCACCCACTTTCTGCATAAAAATATTCGTTTCCTTTTGTTCTTTTTTTTTCAAAAGGAGTGTCCACAGGGTGGCAGGAGAGGGCTAGACTTGGCTTAGATGAGCTTGCGTGTCCAGGGCAGGGAGTCTGCCCAGATGCACTCAAGTAGCAACTGAAGCGCAAGATTCCAAGGGCAGGATTGCCTGCCCACAAACAAGGCTGGGATGGAAAATTCCAAAGGGTAAACCAATTCTAGCCCGCTGGTTCCCGTGAGCTGGGCAGTTATGCCGCTTGCCTGAGCCTCATTGGCATGAACAAGAGGTGCAAAAGAGCCTTAGGTTTCCAAGCACAATTCAAAGTGTTGGTGCTGACCTTTAAAGCCCTAAATGGCCTCAGTCCAGTATACCTGAAGGAGCGTCTCCACCCCCATTGTTCAGCCCGGACACTGAGGTCCAGCACCGAGGGCCTTCGGGTGGTTCCCTCATTGCGAGAAGTGAGGTTACAAGGAACCAGACAGAGGGCCTTCTTGGTGGTGGCACCCGCCCTGTGGAACGCCCTCCCATCAGATGTCAAAGAGATAAACAACTACACTGGTACCTCGGGTTAAGCACTTAATTCGTTCCGGAGGTCCGTTCTTAACCTGAAACTGTTCTTAACCTGAAGCACCACTTTAGCTAATGGGGCCTCCTGCTGCTGCTGCGCCGCCAGAGCACGATTTCTGTTCTCATCCTGAAGCAAAGTTCTTAACCCGAGGTACTATTTCTGGGTTAGTGGAGTCTGTAACCTGAAGCGTATGTAACCCGAGGTACCACTGTACCTGACATTTAGAAGGCATCTGAAGGCAGCCCTGTTCAAGGAAGCTTTTAATGTGTGACATTTTAATGTATTTTTAATCTTTGTTGGAAGCTGCCCAGAGTGGCTGGGGAAACCCAGCCAGATGGGCGGGGTATAAATCATAAATTATTATTATTATTATTATTATTATTATTATTAATAATGGAGGGCTCAGTGGATGCCTCGCACTCAGGACCTCGCACGCAGGATCCAAGCACGAGAACGTTCTCCCCTCCTGTGGCCTCCAGCTACTGGGATTCAGAAGCATCGCTGCCTCACAGCCATCCTGGCTAGCACCCATCAAGAGCCCTCTCCTCCTCCGTAAATTTGCCTAATCCTCTTCTAAAGTCATCCAAGCTGGTGGCCATCGCTGCTTCCTGTGGCAGGGAGTTCCACAGTTTAACTGCATAAAGAATTACTTCCGTTTACGTGTCCCAAATCTTCCAGGGTTCAGCTTCACTGGATGTCCAGTTTTGGGGACGGACGGACATTCCTCTCTCCACTTTCTCCATGCCAGACATCATTTTATGAACTTCTCTAATATCTCCACTTGACTGCCTTTTCTCTAAAAATTACAGGCCCGTGGCCGCTTGCTACCTTCAGCTACCTGTCCTGGCCTCATGGTAGGCAAAGGCACTGCTAGGCACTTCAAATACTCAGGCAGAAAGGGGGCAGCCGGTGCACAAGGTCCAGGGGGCAGATTTGCGCCCCAAAAATATGCTAGATTATACATATAGATCAACTGTTGGTTGTTCACATCCTGCAGGAAATTGACTGTGTAGGCCCTACCTTTAGTTTCGTGACTGTAAGTTGTTTTTAGCCGTTTTTAGCATTGTGTCTTAATGCTGTAAGTCGCCCGAGGGTGAAAGGCAGTTAAATAATAAAAAAAGAATGATAATATGTGTGCAAATGCTGGCAGTGCTCTCAAAACAAAACAAAAACCAGGGTTCTGAAAGACTTGAGCCCCACTGGGACATCTCAGCGCTTGTTTTAGATTCTGGCTGCTGTTTCGTTAACGTTGTTAAAACTGATTTATAGATCATAAATGCTGTATGGATTTGTTAATCATATAATAGGACTTTTGCTTTAATTGTGACGCTTAGCTTAATTTTTTTTAGCTGTTGCTTTAACAGTGCTTTATAGATTGCAGTTGTTTCGGCGACGATTTGTCGATTATTCTATATGACTTGTGCTGTGTTTGTGGTATTCTGTCATGTTCTTATTATTTATCGTTTGCAAGCTGCTTTGGGAATCCTTTGAATGAAAAGCAACATTAATAACCACCCCCCAAAAAAACTGTACGTGTGGTGGGGAGCTGGCGTGCTGTGTCCACTGGTTTGCAAGGCGGAGGAAAAGGGCACTTTGCCCATGGTCAGGAGACCCTTTATTGTGACTTTGCACGCATCAGTTATTAGCCTTGTTGCTGGGGGGAAACACATCACGGACATTCTCCCTCGCCCTGATCCAAAGGTTTTCCTGCCCCTCTCAAAAAAGGAAAGGAAAAGGAAAATACGTCCCGCGCTGTGGTCGCAGCTCCTTGACCCAAGCAGCGCTAAGTGCGCCAGAAGGGTCGATTTCCCTGATTATATAAAGCAGCAGTTTTAACTACCAAGGCTACCGGGAGGGACATCCTCTCCAAAAAACAACAACGACAAAGAATCGAGCCCCAAGCTTCCTTCGCCTCAGAGGTCCCCACCTCCACTTTCCTCCTTCAGAGCAGCCGAGGAATCGCACAGAGCTGGAAGACGAGGAGTCGAGCGCGCAGAGAATGGACTGAGCACCAGGGATTGATCCAAAGGACGCACGAATCAGGTAGGGTCCTCCTCGTGCGCCCCCGTCCCCTGCCCCTCAGTTTCCTGGAGGTGCAGGTTTCACTGCTGCTAAATGTTATTCTTTGCTCTTTTGATCTCCAGCTATTCCCACCATCCAGGGCGCAGCAGCCCCCTGTTCCCCCCACATTTTCCCACGGTCCTTATTCCACGTCTGCTTTTGCCGGCTGGGGATGCTTCGTGGGAAACGCTGTTCGCATCAGTTGTTAGAGTCGCCGTTCTTCAGGATCGAGTCCCTCCCCAGGATACTGTCTGGGTGGGTAAGGGGGGCGGTGTATCAAGTCTCCCCCGAGCGCATGTGGATAAATGCACACGCGCATGAACGCTAAGGCGCCGTGCAAAGTCTTAGTTTTACGCGCGAGCACTGCAAAATGCCAAGGTATATTTTGCGAAGTTTTGTGATGAATTATGTTTCGGGGGAGTCTCCCGGTGTTAATGACCGATTGCATTTATATCCTGCATTTTTCTCCCGGCGACTCAAGGTGCCTCGCGTGATTCTTCCCCCTCATTTAATCCACGCAACAACCCTGTGAGGTTGTTGTTTAGTCGTTTAGTCGTGTCCGACTCTTCGTGACCCCCTGGACCAGAGCATGCCAGGCACTCCTGTCTTCCACTGCCTCTTGCAGTTTGGTCAAACTCATGCTAGTAGCTTCGAGAACACTGTCCCACCATCTCGTCCTCTGTCGTCCCCTTCTCCTTGTGCTCTCCATCTTTCCCAACATCAGGGTCTCTTCCAGGGAGTCTTCTCTTCTCATGAGGTGGCCAAAGTCTTGGAGCCTCAGCTTCAGGATCTGTCCTTCCAGGGAGCACTCAGGGCTGATTTCCTTCAGAACGGAGAGATTTGATCTTCTTGCAGTCCATGGGCCTCTCAAGAGTCTCCCCCAGCACCATAATTCAATACATCAATTGTTCAGCGATCAGCCTTCTTTATGTTCCAGCTCTCACTATTGGGAAAACCATAGCTTTAACTATACGGACCTTTGTTGGCAAGGTAGGTTAGGCTGAAAGAGGCCGAGTGGGGGGATTTGAACTCCAGTCTCCCAGTTCCTAGCCTGACACTCCAACCACTACACCACACTGCCTCCAATGTGGGGACCCCTCAGGCGGTAACCCCTCATATGAAAATTATTCTGGAATGACAGGCGTGGCCCTATTTCCATTTGCTCAGAGTTGCAAGTTATGCTTTCTTTTCCTTGAAAGTATCCCTTCTTTCTACCCCTGGCAAAATCTGATTCTATCAAGGGCTGTCTTCTCTCTCTCTCTCTTTTTAAATAAATTTTTATTAGTTTTTTTAACATATCATTTTCAACAGTAATTAAACATACTTTTACATCTTATTCAAATTTTTGACTTCCATCAATCCTGTCTGAAAATTTTCCAATCTAATCTCTCAGTATGCATTTCTTATTTTCCCTATTACATTTCAAACTCATAACCAATATCTCTATCTTTTTCTACTTTGTAACACTTCGTATATCTCTCCTTACAAAACTTCTTTTTTTAAAAAAAATAATATTTATTAAAGTTTCAATGGGAATAATAATAATAATAATAATTTATTATTTGTACCCCGCCCATCTGGCTGGGTTTCCCCAGCCACTCTGGGCGGCTTCCATAGAAACAAAAAATACAGTAAAATATCACAGATTAAAAGCTTCCCTGAGCAATAAAATAACAATAAAATTAACAATAAAAAGGAAAAATACAAAGTAAAAAGAAAAAACAGTTAAAAACAATTCCAACTTTTCCTCACTTCTTTTACGTTTACTTGTTTCCCGGACCTCCTCATACCTCCCTCTTTTGTATTCCAATTCAATTTGTTAATCCAACAATTCCTTTCCCTCCTTTTTAATCCTAATCCTTAGTCTTGATATATTGTAACGTTAGATTTTTACATATTAAAAACCAATTTTTCCATATTCTTTTGTACCTATACAGCTAGAAACCACTTAACTTCAATCCAACATCATTCTAACATTCATTAATTTTACAATATTTCTGTAAATAGTCTTTAAATTTCTTCCAATCTTCTTCCACCAACTCTTCTCCCTGGTCACGGATTCTGCCAGTCATTTCTGCCAATTCCATATAGTCCATTAATTTCATCTGCCATTCCTCCAGTGTGGGTAAATCTTGTGTCTTCCAATGCTTTGCAATGAGTATTCTTGCTGCTGTTGTAGCATACATAAAAAAGTTCTGTCCTTTTTAACACCGATTGGCCGACGATGCCCAGGAGAAAGGCCTCTGGTTTCTTCAAGAAGGTATATTTAAATACCTTTTTAGTTCAGTATATATCATCTCCCAGAAAGCCTTAATCTTTGGGCACGTCCACCAAAGGTGAAAAAAAAGTACCTTCAGTTTCTTTACATTTCCAACATTTATTATCAGGCACATGATAGATTTTTGCAAGCTTGACTGGGGTTATGTACCACCTGTATATCATTTTCATAATATTTTCTCTTAAGGCATTACATGCCGTAAATTTCATACCTGTGGTCCACAACTGTTCCCAGTCAGCAAACATAATATTATGTCCAACATCTTGTGCCCATTTAATCATAGCAGATTTCACCGTTTCATCCTGAGTATTCCATTTCAACAGCAAGTTATACATCTTTGACAAAATTTTAGTTTTGGGTTCTAACAATTCTGTTTCTAATTTTGATTTTTCCACCTGGAAGCCGATTTTCTTGTCCAAATTGTATGCCTCCATTATCTGATAATAATGAAGCCAGTCTCGCACTTTGTTTTTTAGTTTTTCAAAACTCTGCAGTTTCAATCTATCTCCATCTTGTTCCAAAATTTCCCAATATTTCAGCCATTTGACCTCCATATTGAGCTTTTTCAAGGCTTTCGCTTCCATCGGTGACAGCCACCTTGGGGTTTTATTTTCCAATAAATCCTTATATCTTATCCAAACATTAAACAATGCTTTCCTGACAATATGCAATATGGTTTTTAAATGCTTTATGTGCTTTGACCTTATCGTACCACAGATACGCATGCCATCCAAATACATTGTTAAAACCTTCCAAATCCAAAATGTCAGTGTTTTCAAGAAGCAGCCATTCTTTCAACCAGCAAAAAGCTGCTGATTCATAATAAAGTTTGAGGTCTGGCAGGGCAAATCCACCTCTTTCCTTTGCATCTGTTAGTATTTTAAATTTTATTCTGGGCTTCTTGCCCTGCCAGACAAATCTAGAAATATCTCTCTGCCACCTCTTGAAACAGTCCATTTTGTCCACAATTTGCAATGTTTGAAACAAAAACAACATTCTAGGCAATACATTCATTTTTATCGCAGCAATACGGCCCAGCAGTGAAAGCTTCAAATTTGACCAAATTTCTAAATCTTTTTTCACTTCAGCCCAACATTTTTCATAATTATCTTTAAATAAGTTCCCATTTTTTGCTGTCAAATTGATCCCCAAGTATTTAACTTTCTTAACCACTGTTAAACCTGACTCATTCTGAAACACCTCTCTCTCTATTGGTGTTAAATTTTTCTCTAAAACCTTAGTTTTTACCTTATTCAATTTAAATCCTGCGACTTGACCAAATTCTTGAATCAATTCTAAAACCCTTTTGGTACTAGATTCTGGCTCCTGTAACGTCAGTACTAAGTCATCTGCAAATGCTCTCAATTTGTACTGTTTAGCTCCAACCTGTATACCTTTAACCAACTGGTTCCTTCTAATCATGTTCAGCAAAACCTCCAGGACCGAAATAAAAAGCAGTGGGGAAATTGGGCAACCTTGTCGTGTCCCTTTTTCTATCTTAAATTCTTCCGTCACCACATTATTTACAATTAATTTAGCCTTTTGTTCTGAATAAATTGCACTTATACCGTTTTCAAAGCCTTGGCCTACCCCCATACCCTGTAGGTTCTTCTTCATAAAACTCCAAGAAATATTGTCAAAAGCTTTCTCCGCGTCCACAAATATCAAAACTGCTTTAGTGTTCATATTCACTTCTAGTTTCTCCAAAATATCAATTATGTTCCTCATATTGTCAGACAAGTGTCTACCCGGGAGAAAGCCCGCTTGATCTTTATGAATCTCTTCCATCAACACTTTTTTCAGTCTCTTAGCCAAAATGTCTCTCCTTACAAAACTTCTTGTAGTACCGTAATTTGTTGATTACAGTTGCTTTTCAAATAGTTCATATACTTCTTCCAATCTTCTGTAAATCTCTGGTCCCGCAGGTTTCGAATCCTTCCTGCCATTTTGTCCAATTCTGCATAGTCCATCAATTTCGTCTGCCATTCTTCTTTCGTCGGAATTTCTTCTTGTTTCCATTTCTGGGCTAACAATACTCTTGCCGCAGCTGTTGCATATAAAAACAATTTAACATCTTGCCTATTAATGTCCTGACCTATAATACCAAGTAAGAATGCTTCTGGTTTTTTAAAAAAATGTATATTTCAACATCTTTTTCATCTCATTATATATCATTTCCCAGAAGTTCTTTACTTTTTTACATTCCCACCACATATGATAAAATGTTCCTTCTTTTTCTTTACATTTCTAACATTTATTATTTGTCTTGTACAGTTTAGCTGATTTCACTGGTGTAATATACCATCTATACATCGGAGGGCTGTCTTCTTCTCAGTCTAGCCTACCTCACAGGGTTGTTGTGGGTATTAAATGAGGAAGGGGCAGACGTGCATGCCTCCTTCAGCTCCTTGGATAACAAAAGGGTGGGATATAACTGCAATAAAATGGGGTGGCGGGGAGAAATATCCTGCAAATTGCTGCTTGCCTCCATGCAGCCAGGCAACAAAACACCACAAACTCTGGGTGTGATTTTCTTTCTTTCAGGCCCCAGGCAGGTGAGAAGCCCAGGTGTGTGCAGGCATCTCTTCCCCCACGCCTCCATCTATTGCAGATTGCAAGTGGGGGGGGTTTGGGGGTATATTCACCTTAAAGTGGGGAGAAGGGCTGCAGCCCATTGGCAGAACGTTACATCTGTTTGCCAGGCCTAATGTCCCAGGTAAACTTCCCACCATATAAGGTACATTGCCCATTCAGAAATTCTGCACCGATGGCAGGTGTGCAGAGTGATTTGCGCTGAATGGTTTGCTGTAGGTTGAGAAGGATTTCTGACTCTCGACTGTTTTGTAACATCAGCAACAAAACTGCTATGCTCACCTGAGCTGGAGCCAGGAGTTGCGTGGAATATCTGGTTCTAGAATAGAAACAGGCTCAGAGCATGCTCAGAGGCACCCTGCCCTTAAAATCTAATTGTTATGTCTTGTATGGCTACTGGGCTCTTGGGGGGGGTGGTTCCTAGTAAAATTCAGCAAGCCTGCAGTCTACCTGCCTCTTAGGTACAGCTCCTGGCAATTAATGTGCCTCCTCTCGAGGAGGAGGAGGAGGAAGAGGACGGTTGATGCCCACATATACCATATTTTTCGCTCCATAAGAAGCACCTGACCATAAGACGCACCTAGTTTTTAGAGGAGGAGAACAAGGGGGAAAAAAATTCTGAACGAAACAGTGGATGTATGATTTTTTTGGTGCAGACTGTAGCCATGGACATGCTGTGTGATCTGATGGTGAATTTGGGGTGACCCAATGCAAAAATACTGAGGATCCATGTGCTTTTACCTCCCCCCTCCCAGGCAGCCTCCTTTATCTCTAGAGTCCCTTATCTCCCTCCCAATCGCTTGCAGATCAGCTGATCAGCGGCTTTATTTCAACACCCCCTTCCCTCTTGTTTGCCTTAGTGTCTTTTCCTTAGCTGGAACAGTTTTTTGCTCTTCCTTTTCTTCTAATTTCTCTCCTCATTGCTTTCTGGTGTCTCCTCTCCTTGCAAGTTCGCTGCCTTTACTTCCCCACTCCTTTATCTCAAGCGTCCCTTATCTCCCTCCCCCGGCAAACGATCAGCGGCTTTGTTTTAACACCCCCTTCCCTCTTTCTAAAAAAAAAAAAAAGCACAATCTGCTTTTCACCCCTGGGCAATTCGGTTCCAGGGACCACGCATTCGCTTCATAAGACGCAAAGACATTTCCCCTTACTTTTTAGGAGGAAAAACGTGCGTCTTATGGAGCGAAAAATACGGTAGGTTGCCAGTGGGGCTGAATTTATGCTGGGGCTCCCCAGAGCTCAGCCTTGAGAGAAAAAACAAGAGAGGCTTTGGGCATTTTAGGGACCAACAATTTTGCTGTGGCAGATTTAAAGCAGCTTTCCATTAAGGTGAACCCAGTGTTATTTGGGGTTATTTATTTTGCTGCAGTGCAAAAAGAAAAAAAGGAAGCCACACCACGGCTCCTACAAGCCCAAGTCGCATGCCGCTGGTCATGTGGCTTTGCTGGCTGGCGCTGATAGTGAAGACTGCAACTCAGCACCTGTGAAACCAGTCATATGATTCTGGGGCAGGTGGCAGTGTGGCAGGGCTGCTTGGGGCTGATAGGAAATGTAATCCATGATGCCTGGAGGGCGCTGGGTCGGGGAACTCCGGCTTCTAAGAATGCAACAAGGCCTCCTGTGTAGCTCTTTAGAAGCTACAGCTGCTCCCCTACGAAGAAAGCTTGCAGAGTTTGGGACTTTTTAGTTTAGAGAAAAGTAAAGAGGCGACATGCTAGAAGTTTACAAAATTAGGCCTGTCACGGAGAAAGTGCATGGGGAAAAGGTGCTCTCCCTCTCTCTTAACACCAGAAATTGTGGGTATGCAGTGACGCAGGATGTTGGAAGATTCAGGACACATAAAAGGAAGCACTTCTTTATGCAGTGCATGTTAAACTGTGGAACTCCCTGCCACAGGAGGCCAACTTGGGTGGTTTTCTTCTTCTTCTTCTTCTTTTTTCTTCTTCTTCTTTTTCTTCTTCTTCTTCTTCTTTGTTTGTTTATTTATTTATTGGTTTTCACATATTACATTACAATACAAATGTACCAAAGCCAATACCATTTCCTCCCCATCTCCCCATACATTTACATTTATATTTCCTCAATCCACCATATTATTCTTTTCTCCCTCCTCCCACTTCCCTCTGCCCCCCCTCAATTTCCTCCACATTACACAATTTACAATAATCTTTGCATTCCACAGTCTTCTCAAATCATCTATCTATTCTCATCTTTCCTTACTAATTTTTCTTCCATCTATTACTTCAAGTTTTAATCTAGGCATGTTAGCATATATTTTTCTGAGCAATATTCATCAAAACATTTCCACTCCTTTTTTCATTTTTGATTCGACTGATTTCTTATTATAGCAGTTAATTTTGCCAAAATTAAATATTCATTTAGTTTACAAATCCATTCCTCCTTTGTGGGTATAGTTTGTGACTTCCACCTAGCAGCAATCACTATTCTAGCAGCTGTACTTGCACACAGGAAAATTCTTTTCTTTCCCTGTGGTATCTCTTCATCTATCAGTCCGAGGAGATGTGTCTCTGGTTTCTTTGTTATTGATATTTTCAACATCTTCTTTCATTCTTCATGTACTACTATCCAAAATTTCTTAATTTCCTAACACCTCCACCACATATGTATTATTGTTCCTATTTCTTGGGTGGCTTTCAAAGAGGATTGGACCAATTCATGGAGGAGAAGAGGGCTCTCAATGGCTACTAGCCATAATTATTATTATTATTATTATTAATACCCCGCCCACTCTGGGCGGCTTCCAATCACGTGTTAAAAACAATACAGCATTAAATATTAAAAGCTTCCCTAAACAGGCTGCCTTCAGATGCCTTTTAAAGATAGGACAGCTGCTTATTTCCTTCACATCTGAAGGGAGGGCGTTCCACAGGGCGGGCGCCACCACCAAGAAGGCCCTGTGCCTGGTTCCCTGTAGCTTTGCTTCTCGCAATGAGGGAACCACCAGAAGGCCCTCGGCGCTGGATCTTAGTGTCTGGGCTGAATGATGGGGGTGGAGATGCTCCTTCAGGTATACAGGACTGAAGCCGTTTAGGGCTTTCAAGGTCAGCACCAACACTTTGAATTATGCTCGGAAACGTACTTTGCTCTTTGGTCAGAGGCAATAAATGCTTCTGGATCCCAGTTGCTGGAACCCATTAGGAGATAGTGTTTCTCTTGTGCCCGGATCCTGATTTCTGGTTTCCCACAAGAGGCAGCTGATCAGCCACTGTGAGAACTTGAGCCACTTATACATTATAAGGAGCGCAACTCTCTGCTGTGCGTATATATATACACGCAGGCTCTCCTCCTTGAGAAAAAAACGGTTTCCTGCCTCTCCATCCTGCTGTGTAATTTCCTCGTCTCCCAGAACTTCTGCGAAATTATGACTCAGGGTCTCCCAAATGGCCGGCCGCTCTGGAAGAACAGCCCGACTTCCAGCCCCCCCACCTCCACCCCAAGGTCAGATCCATACCACCCATCAGAGCACACCCTGAGTGGGAAGAAACAGCAGGGATTCTCATTAAGACCCCTGGCATTTAAGCAGGCGCAATGCCATAAACACGTACAGTACTGACTGCACAGGAACTCAAGAAACTGCCTTTGTTGTTGTTGTTTAGTCGTTTAGGAGTGCCTGGCGTGCTCTGGTCCAGGGGGTCACGAAGAAGCGGACACGACTAAACGACTAAACAACAACAAAGGGGAGGAGAGAGATTGCTGAAACTGGATTGTAACCTCTGTATGTGTTGCAGCTGCAATGTGGGCAAAGCAGAGTCAGAAAGAGGATTTTAAAAAGAAAGAAAGAAAAAGGTCTCATGGATCTCTCTTGCAGGGTCCCCTCCCCTCTGCCTTCCCGGAATGAGGGCAGTTTTCAGAGAAGGCAGGTCACATGGCAGCAAGGGGAGGGTCCATAGACCAGGCAGGTAAATCTGATGTCAGCTGGTCATTTGAGACACTTCCCCACAGAGAGAGGTTCAGCTGTCATCTGGCTGGCGTGAAAAAGCAGGAGCGAAAAAGCCCCTTCTGCAAAGATGGAAACTCAGGTAGGGCTTCCTGTACGCTGACTTTGGGTCAACCCAGCTCTGGGGATTCCCAGTGTGGAAGATCCCTTCTTCATAAACTTCCTGCTCCCACACTGTGGGTCCCTGGTCCCGGTCAAGTCTTTGCAGAGGGGTGCAAGGGTCAAGCAGGGCAGGGACCCTCTGGGGGGCCGCCTTTCCTGGTGCCCCATGTGGCCCAGATGTGTTTCTATTTATTTTTTTAAAAAACTTTTTAAATTGAGTTTTCAGGTTTTTTTTCATTTCAAAATAAACATTTTGCAAACTTTAACATACCCAATGACTTCCCTTCTTCTCCTTCCACGGTTCATATCACATATCATACATTCCTGCACATTTTGCTGTAACCATTCAAATCAATTTCCCCCTTTTACATCCAATATTGTTTACTCTGTTTAATTTATCTTCATGCTGCCAGCATTTTGAGCTGTGTACAATTATTTTCTGCGTATTCAATAATTATTCTCCACTCTTCTTTAAATATGCGTTATTCTTGCTCTCTTATTCTGTGTGTTAAGCTTGCAAGTTCTGCATATTCTAACGTCTTAAAGTTGCCAATCCTCTCTATGTGGGACCTGGCTCACTTTCCATTTGGGGGCTAACAGAACCATGCAGACCATCTTGTGCTCCTTGGAGAAAAATGGCGGGATGTAAGTGGTTTAATTCGGTTGTCTATTTTCTGACGTGGTTTATGACGACTTCTTGTTGGGTTATGAGTGGCCGCTCGCTAACACTTCTGTTGTAGTTATGTGCTTTTTTCATGTCGTAAGCTGCCCAGAGCATGGTTTGAACAGTGGAAAGGTGGCATACAAGTAAGATTATGTATGTATAAATGCGATAAAGGTAAAGGTACCCCTGACCGTTAGGTCCAGTCGTGGATGACTCTGGGGTTGCGGCGCTCATCTCGCTTTATTGGCCGAGGGAGCCGGCGTACAGCTTCCGGGTCATGTGGCCAGCATGACTAAGCTGCTTCTGGCGAGCCAGAGCAGCGCACGGAAACGCCGTTTACCTTCCCGCCGGAGCGGTACCTATTTATCTACTTGCACTTTGACGTGCTTTCGAACTGCTAGGTTGGCAGGAGCAGGGACCGAGCAACGGGAGCTCACTCCGTCGTGGGGATTCGAACTGCCGACCTTCCGATTGGCAAACCCAAGGCTCTGTGGTTTAGACCACAGCGCCACGTTTTATTTACCCATATATGAACCTGAGTTTTGATGGAGGGAGTTCAGAACGTTACACCTCAAAGAGTGCCTCTGGTTGCGTCTCCTAGAGCTTCATGAAACCTGGGGTCCAGAGCAGAAGGCAGCCGCGCTCCCCAATCTCTCCATAATAATAATAATAATAAATAATAATTTATTATTTATATCCCGCCCATCTGGCTGGGTTTCCCCAGCCACTCTGGGCGGCGTCCAACAAAACACTAAAATGCAATAACCTATTAAACATTAAAAGCTTCTCTAAAGTGGGCTGCCTTCAGATGTCTTCTAAAAGTTTGGTAGTTGCTTTTCTCTTTGACATCTGGTGGGAGGGCGTTCCACAGGGCGGGTGCCACCACCGAGAAGGCCCTTTGCCTGGTTCCCTGTAAGTTGGCTTCTTGCAGTGAGGGAACTGCCAGAAGGCCCTCGGCGCTGGACCTAAGTGTCCGGGCAGAACGATGGGGGTGGAGACGCTCCTTCAGACGCTCCCAGCCAGCCTCCATGGAGTTCTGCTGCCCCACATCCTTTTAGCTGTTTCCAAAACCCTCCGGCAAAAGGACACTTTTTTCCTGTGCTGACATCAGGCTCCTCATAACCCTGGTGCCCTCTCCCTCCCAACTTTTTTTTTTTTTTTATCTCCCCCCATTACTCAGGGCAGATGAAGAACAGTAATTGCCTTGTTAATCACTCTTAATGGTCCTGTCCTCTGGTCTCTTTGTTTCTTAATGGCACCTCTATCAACTGATCTCCTGAACAGGAAAACCAGTGTAGTCTGTACTTTTACAACCCCTGTCAGCTCACCTTAATTCTCTAAACACTAATTAAACCCCAACAGCCAGGAATCTAGGGGGAGTCAGGGCACCCCCAAATCCATAACAGTACAATAAGTCAGACCTAGGTTAGATCTGCAAGCCATTTGTTGCTATGAGCTGACAGTCGGCTTAACGGCAAAGGCAGACCTGGGCTGAAGACATGTTTCTGTTTTCACCTTTTCTTAAATATCACGGCCTAGCGAGCTTCTAAAACTTTCATGTACACCTCCCTCTGTGCTCCCCCCCCCCATTCCTCTGTTAATCTTGCATTTCAGCACGATTGCAATAAACACACATGGTGTGGTGTAGTGGTTAAGAGCGGTAGTCTCGTAATCTGGGGAACCGGGTTCGATTCCCCGCTCCTCCACATGCAGCTGCTGGGTGACCTTGGGCTAGTCACACTTCTCTGAAGTCTCTCAGCCCCACTCACCTCACAGAGTGTTTGTTGTGGGGGAGGAAAGGAAAGGAGAATGTTAGCCGCTTTGAGACTCCTTCGGGTAGTGATAAAGCCGGATATCAAATCCAAACTCTTCTTCTTCCTCTATATTAAGAACAAGTCCCATGTTAATATCCAACCTTATGCTGATTTCATCATCATCATCATCATCATCATCATCATCATCATCATAATTTATTATTTATACCCCGCCCATCTGGCTGGGCCTCCCCAGCCACTCTGGGCGGCTTCCATAGAAACCAAAAATACAGTAAAATATCACACGTTAAAAACTTCCCTGAACAGGGCTGCCTTAAGATGTCTTCTGAATGTCAGGTAGTTGTTTATCGCTTTGACATCTGCTGGAAGGGCGTTCCACATACTGCTGCGACAGTATTCATTTATGCTCCTTATCCATCGCTTATCCATAAACGAAGAATAATAATAAGATTTGGGGAACGGGGGTTGGAATTTGATTTTGATTTTGATTTCAGGGGCATATGCTGAGGCTGGGCACCTGTGAAAAACAAGCAAAGCTCCCCAAAGGATTATTATTATTATTATTATTATTATTGTTATTGTTGTTGGTTTTATTATATCCCACCCATTTGAATGGGTTGTCCCAGCTTCCAACAGATATAAAAACAGAAGGAAACATTACACATTAAAATATTAGCCTTGGTGAAGACTTGACGCTTCCATCCCCCAAAAAGTTTTTGATTTGAGTTTCCACTGAAATGAGGCTGCATTTTAATGTTTTAATGTTGTATTTTAATCTTGTTTTTTAAGTTGTACAGTGGTACCTCAGGTTAAGTACTTAATTCGTTCTGGAGGTCCGTACTTAACCTGAAACTGTTCTTAACCTGAAGCACCACTTTAGCTAATGGGGCCTCCTGCTGCCGCTGTGCCGCGGGAGCACGATTTCTGTTCTCATCCTGAAGCAAAGTTCTTAACCCCAGGTAATATTTCTGGGTTAGCGGAGTCTGTAACCTGAAGCGTATGTAACCTGAAGCGTATGTAACCTGAAGCGTATGTAACCTGAAGCGTATGTAACCTGAAGCGTATGTAACCTGAGGTACCACTATATTTCAATCAGTTTGTTTTTATATCTGCTGTTAGCCGCCCTGAGCCTGGTCTTAGCTGGGGAGGGCGGGGTATAAATAAAATTTATACCTGTGGAAAACAAGCAAAGCTCCCAAAGCATTTTTATTGTTGTTATTGTTGTTGCTGTTATACCCCACCGATCTGAATGGGTTGCCCCATCTCCCCTGGGCGGCTTCCAACATATATAAAAACAGAAGGAAACATTACACATTAAAATGTTCAGAATGTCTCCCCAAAACCACCTCAGGCTCTCCCATTGCAACCACTTGACCGTTTTTCCACCTTCCCTTCCAGGTCCTGCGGTGCTTTGGCTGCCATGCCGGTCCTTAAGAACCCCTGCAAGCTCAAGATGGCCAACGGCGACACCAGCGGCGGCTCGCTGATCCTTGAGAAGGAAAGCCACCGGGGAACCAACCCTTTTGAGGAAGACCTTGAGGAGAACGAGAGAGACTCTTTCCTGGGCAGCGACTCCCCCGAGAGCAGGAACCCTTCCCCGGACGGCGGCAGCGGCACCTTCGAGCGGGGCCTTTTCAACGGCAGCCCCGAGGGGCGCTACAGGCGGCGGGCGACGCTGGAGAAGCTGGTGGGGCTCTCCCCCTTCCGCATGGGCAAAGGGAAGAAGAGCGGCGAGAAGAAGTCCCCCGGGGAGAAGGGCTCGGACAGGAGGTCCTTTCTGGGACGCATGATGATCCCCTTGACGGAGGGCAACCAGGGGACGCCGGAGAAGAGGAAGACCCGGCGCAGCTCCGAAGACTTCAGCCTGCTCCAGCTCCTCAACGGCCGCCGCAAGGAGAGCCTCTACGGTCTCGACTGCGGCCTGTCGGAGAAGGAGAACGGCGGTGGGGGAGACAAGCGCATGTCTTTCCTCAAGATCGGGCTGGGAGGGAAGGTGCGCAGGGCTTCGCTGGTGGAGAAGCTCAACCAGACCGAGGCGCCGGATGCGGCCCCCGTCACAGAGGAGGCTGAGGTTAAGGTCAAGGAACCGCTCTCTGGTGAGTCTGTCATTTTTGCCTTCTTCAGCAGCAGAGTTCCCCAGCCTTCATGTTGGAGCTGTTGCGAATAATAATAATAATAATAATAATAATAATAATAATAATTTATTTGTACCCTGCCCATCTGGCTGGGTCTCCCCAGCCACTCCGGGCGGCTTCTAACAAAAATTAAAAATACATTAAAATGTCACGCATTAAAAACTTCCCTGAACAGGGCTGCCTTCAGGTGTCTTCTAAATGTCAGGTACAGTGGTACATCTGGTTACATACTTACGATAATTCATTTCGGAGGTCCGTTCTTAACCTGAAACTGTTCCTAACCTGAAGCACCACTTTAGCTAATGGGGCCTCCCGCTGCCGCCACCGCACGATTTCTGTTCTCATCCTGAAGCAAAGTTCTTAACCCGAGGTAATATTTCTGGGTTAGCGGAGTCTGTAACCTGAAGCGCATGTAACCTGAAGCGTATGTAACCTGAGGTACCACTCTAGTTGTTTATCTCTTTAACATCTGATGAGAGGGCGTTCCACAGGGTGGGTGCCACCACCAAGAAGGCCCTCTTCCTGGTTCCCTGTAGCTTTGCTTCTCGCAGTGAGGGAACTGCCAGAAGCCCCTCAGCGCTGGACCTCAACGTCCGGGCAGAACAATGGGGGTGGAGACGCTCCTTCAGGTATACTGGACCGAGGCCGTTTAGGGCTTTAAACAACACTTTGAATTGTGCTTGGAAACATACTGGGAGCCAATGTAGGTCTTTCAGGACCGGTGTTATGTGGTCTCGGCGGCCGCTCCCAGTCACCAGTCTAGCTGCCGCATTCTGGATTAGTTGTGTTGTTCTTGCTTCTATACACAGTGGAACTTTGGCTGCTGAACGTTTCGGCTTTCGAACGTCGACAACCCAGAATGCTTCTGTTTTCGAACGTGCCTTGGCTTATTCAGTTTTTTCCTCCATTGGTTCACCCCCTAGCTCTTCTGCATTTTTCGAAGCCTTCTAATGTTTAGTCGGAATCTCCTTTCTCGTTGGGTCATCGCCTCTGGAACAGCGGAAAAGGAGCTTTCTCCTTCTTCTATGTGACAGCCTTTCACCTATTTGAAAACGGCTGGCGTATCCCCTTCACAATGTACACTGTTCTGGAGAGAGCTGGTGTGTGCAGTGCTGTGCTGGACACTGTGCAAAGACAGGACACTGTGTAAGCCAGCTTCCTATCTTCTGACGGGATCAGCCTTGGCCCAGAACCTCACAGAATCGACCCGGCCGTTTCTCATCGAAAAGACTTTAATGTTGAGCTGTTGAAAGTTGTGCCTTGGCAGCTGATCTTTGGCTGTCTGCAAAGTCCTTCCCAAGGGGACTGGAAACAAGACCTGATGGTTTTATTTTTCCCCCCTCTTCACTCCAGGGCCAGCCTGTTTACTCAGGTTATGGCTGGGGAGAAGCTAATGAAGGGGTCTTTCTTTTTTTGCTTATTTTTTGCTTTTTGTTCTCCCCGGCTCATTGTTCCAGCCTGATTGACCCTCCTGATTGCAGGGGTAGAAATGCAGCCCATTGACCTTGCTGGAGAATGTGCCCAGAGGGAAGGAAAAAGACTCCAAGAGCGCTTGGGAGAGAGCAGGGCAAAGGGGGGAAATGAATATGCAGAACCAATTCAACTTTGCTCCACAAGCCTGGAGAGAGCCTTCCTTCCTCTCCCAAAATTTCAGCCGCCTGCCAAAGATAGCCTCCATCACCCTAGATTGCAAGACTGAAAACAAACCCCCCTCTCCTTATAAAACTGTGTCTCACGCCTCTGCTTGCTCGCTTGTCTGCCTGTCTGCCTTCTGCTGCTCCAGCACAGAATCATAGCATTGTTGAGTTGGAAGGGACCACAAGGGTCATCTAGTCCAACCCCCCGCAACGCAGAAATCTTTTGCCCAACGTGACCTGCAAAACACCCATTTCGAAGAACTGCGGTGCTCAGAAACCCCCCTCCAAAGCATTCTTCTTAATTAAAAAAACAACACCTATAAAATCAGTCATTAATTTGCCTTTATATCCCAACTTTTCCTCCAATCAGCTGAAGGTGACACACATGGTTCTCTCCTTATTCACCCCATCCCCACAACAACCTTGTGAGGGAGGCTAGGCAGATAGGTAGGCTAGACTGCCTGCCCCACAAGCCTCATGGCGAAGTGGGGAATTCGAACCCAGGTCTTCCGGGTCCCAGCCTGACACTATAACGAACCGCTGCACCACACTGGCTCTTGAATGCAACCAGACGTGGCAATTCGTATTATTTATTTGTTAGTTCTTCAACTAAGGTCCCAGGATGGGCTACAGCAATTTAATCACAGTACTGAAAACGTTTTAAAACAAGTGGCGCTGTGGTCTAAACCACAGAGCCTAGGGCTTGCTGATCAGAAGGTCAGCGGTTCAAATCCCTGCGACGGGGTGAGCTCCCGTTGCTCGGTCCCTGCTCCTGCCAACCTAGCAGTTCAAAAGCACATCAGAGTGCAAGTAGATAAATAGGTACCGCTCCGGCGGGAAGGTAAACGGCGTTTGCGTGTGCTGCTCTGGTTTCGCCAGAAGCAGCTTAGTCATGCTGGCCGCATGACCCGGAAGCTGTATGCCGGCTCCCTCGGCCAGTAAAGCGAGATGAGCGCACAACCGCAGAGTCGTCTGGGGTACCTTTACCTTTACAGTCACAAAAGGCTCGTAAAAACATACACCTTGGGCAGGGGTCAGCAAACTTTTTCAGCAGGTGGCCGGTCCACTGTCCCTCAGACCTTGGAGGGGGGGGCGGACTAATTTTTTTTTGGGGGGGGAATGAACGAATTCCTATGCCCCACAAATAACCCAGACATGCCTTTTAAATAAAAGGACACATTCTACTCATGTAAAACATGCTGATTCCCGGACTGTCTGCAGGCTGGATTTAGAAGGTGATTGGGCCGCATCCGGCCCCCGGGCCTTAGGTTGCCGACCCATGACCTTGTGTATCAAACGCCAGGGTGAACAGGTGTGCAATGTCAGGTGTGCAATGAAGGTTCAGGGATGTCTCTGTGGGGAAGGAGTTCCACAGCTTAGGGGCTGCCCTAGAGAAAACTGTCTCCCGCTGGGCCACCCCACAAGCCTCTGAGGGTAGAGGAACTGCCAACTCTGGCCATCTCAGCACCCAAGAGCAGGGCTGGCCCAAGAGGGGCGAACCACAAAATGTTGTGCGCCCCCACAATGGTGTGAGTGAAGATCTACATTGGGAACAAGGGCAGGAGGAATCGTAGAACTGTAGAATTGGAAGGGACGCCGAGAGTCCAACCCGTGGCAAGGCAGGAATCTTTTGCCCAGTGTGGGGTTTGAACCCATGGCCGCGAGATTAAGAGTCTCATGTCTACTGACTGAGCTGGGGGCGGTAGCCATGGGCATACGCGGGATTTATTTTTGGGGTGGCAGGCTTTAAGTTTGGGCGGCAGAACCGACTTACCTGAGATGCAATTGGTCATTTAGTTAAGGATTTTTGTTTATTTACTTGATTGGGGGGGGGCAGCTGCCCCTCTGCCAACCCCCAGCTATGCCCATGGCTGCAGCCCCTCTTTTCCGCCAAGGGGCTGCTGTAGAGGTGACATGGGGGGCTGCCAAAGAGGCAACAAAACTGGCCTCCTAGGGGCAGACTGCCCCGGGCAATGAATTCCTGGCCGTCCCTCTACATCCTGCCACCTGAGGCCATCGCCTCGCCTTGCCTCTTGGGTGGGTCGGCCCTGCCTGAGAGGGTCTGCAGGGAAGGAGGCTGGTTTTCAGGTCCTCAGAGCCTGGGTCCCCAACGTGAGCACCTCGAATTGGGCCCTGAAACGACTTGGCAACCCTCTCCGCTGTTGCAAAACGGGGGTTTTTATGGCTGAACGGAAGCGGCTCAATTTTGCCCAGGTTGCCCAGCACCAGGGGGCTTCCATCCCACCCCGACGGGCAGGGGTCAAGCTTGTGTGTCTGTATCCGTGCGTCTGCCATCCCATGCGGGGAAGATCTTGAGTCCTGGCAGCCGTTCTGCCCAGGGCGGTGGGAGGCTGCTATATAAATACACAGCGGAGGCAGCTAACGGAAGCAATAAGTTAAACAACATGTTTCTGGGGCTGGGAGAGGTGAGGACTGCGGCCGGGAGCCAGTTCTGTCACCCTCTGTCCCCGCCATGGGGCTGCACGCACCGCTGCAACAAGAAGAGGCAGCACCCAGAGCCGAGGCTGATGGGGTGCCCCCCATCCTCAGACACTCCCCGCCCCTCGGCCTGTGGAGCTGTGAGCTTACGGGTGGGGAGCAAACCGTGACCCATAAGATGTCCTTGGGGCTCCCAGCTCTCATCGGGGTCGGTCAAGCAGGCCCAGGTCATTTAGGACGATGGAGGTTGTGGTCCAGTGGCTCCCAAAGGTTTTTTTGGGGGGCCCCCCACCCGCTTGGTTCCATGAACTTGTCCCCCCCCATTGCCCGCTATCCTACCCAATAAAAAAGCATTATTTGGAAGAGCAGTTTGCATGGCCTGCTAAGGAATACTGTAGCGCACTCAGATTCAAAACGAGTGGCAACTGCCGTATTTTTCGCTCCATAAAATGCACCTGACTATAAGACGCACCTGGTTTTTAGAGGAGGAAAACAAGAAAAAAAATATTCTGAACGAAACAGTGGATGTATGATTTTTGTGGTTCATGCTGTGGCCACAGACACGTGATTTGACGGTGAGTTTGGGGTAGCTCAATGCAAAAATCCACGTGGATCTGTGCTTTGTAACCACGTTTTTGCGCCATTGCGGCCCCAGGCAACAGTGGGTACGTGGTTTTTTTGGTGCAGGCTGTAGCCATGGACATGCTATGTGATCTGATGGTGAATTTGGGGTGACCCAATGTAAAAATCCTGAGGATCCATGCGCTTTTACCTCCCCCCTCCCAGGCAGCCTCCGCTAGCCTCCCTTATTTCTCTTCAGATCCCACCGATCAGCTGTTTCCTTTCTACACTCCCTTCCCTCTTGTTTGCCTTAGTGTCTTTTCCTTAGCTGGAGCAGTTTTTTGCTCCTCCTTTTCTTCTAATTTCTCTGCTCCTTGCTTTAGCCTTCCTGTCTCCTCTCCTTGCAAGTTCGCTGTCTTTACCTCCCCCGCTCCCAGGCAGCCTCCTTTATTGCTAGAGTCCCTTATCTCCTTCCCCGATCGCTTGCCGATTAGCGGCTTTGTTTCAACACCCACTTCCCTCTTTCCAAAAAAAAGAGCATGATCTGTTTTTTGCCCCTGGGCAATTGGGCTCCAGGGACCACGCATTTGCTCCACAAGATGCACAGACATTTCCCCTTACTTTTTAGGAAGAAAAAAGTGTGTCTTGTAGAGTGAAAAAGACGGTAATTGCACATTTATACAGAGCCCCGTTAAAACTCTTCAGTTGAATTAATTTCTGCAAAACAGATGAACTTGATCCAGAGCTTTTCAAAGCCTGGCCATCCTTTGCACCTCCAGTGCCCATCCTGTCACCGCTTTCCCTCTTGATATCCCACCTTTGCCTCCCAAAGGGTGGTTCCTGCCCCCTTTCAACCCCCACTACGACCCTGTGAGGTAGGTTAGGCTGAGAGGGCGACTGGCCACTGGAGCTTCATGGTTGAGTGGTGATTCGAACCCTAGTCTCGCAGGTCCTAGTCTGACACTAATCCAGGGGTCGGCAAGGTTTACCGGCCACGGGCCGGATCACTCCCACGGAGATCGTCCGTGGGCCGGACTGGCGCAGCACAATGCCAGAAATCGCGTCTGCGCATGTCCGCGGTGCCAGAAATCGCTTCTGCGCATGCCCAGACGCCGAAAATCATGCCTGCGCAGAAGCGATTTTCGGCATCTGGACATGCGCAGACAAGATTTCTGGTATCTGCTCATGCGCAGATGCGATTTCAGGCGCCGCTCAGCGTGTCGCTGCACCGTGCTGTGCTGGTTTAGCGCAGCATGCGGGGGACTTGCCGAATGGGCGACTTGGTTTGGGGGTGGCTCGTGGGCCGGTAAAACGGTTTTCGTGGGCTGCATCCGGCCCATAGGCCGAACGTTGCCAACCCCTGCTCTAACCCATGGGTAGGCAAACTAAGGCACGGGGGCCGGATGCGGCCCAATCATCTTCTAAATCTAGCCTACGAACGGTCCGGGAATCAGCGTGTTTTTACATGAGTAGAATGTATCCTTTTATCCTTCTGGCGGTTCCCTCATTGCGAGAAGTGAGGTTACAGGGAACCAGACAGAGGGCCTTCTCGGTAGTGGCGCCCGCCCTGTGGAATGCCCTCCCTTTAGATGAGAAGGAAATAAGCAGCTATCCTATCTTTAAAAGACATCTGAAGGCAGCCCTGTTCAGGGAAGTTTTTAATATTTAACACTGTACTGTTTTTAACACTTGTTTGGGAACCGCCCAGAGTGGCTGGGGAAACTCAGCCAGATGGGCGGGGTATAAATAAATTATTATTATTATTATTATTATTATTATTATTATTATTATTATTATTTTATATTTAAAATGCATTTCTGGGTTATTTGTGTGGCATAGGAATTGATTCACTTTTCCCCCTTCAAAATATAGTCCGGCCCACCACATGGTCTGAGGAACGCTGGACCGGCCCCCTGCTGGAAAAGTTTGCTGACCCCTGCTCTAACCACTAAACTGTGCTGGCTCTCCATCCATCTAGTCAAGTTCCCTACAGGGTCTCATGCTATGTGAGATTCTTTGAAGTGGAGTTGAGAGGGGTTGACTCTACACGCAAAGCACCTACTCTGTCACTGTGCTGTGGTGTCTCCCATCATCCGCCAAGGATGGGTCGCTGGTGGGGTGTACAGGGTCTTATTTATTTATCTGTTTATTTGTTTGTTTATTACACCACCCTTCATTAGACCACCGTTCAGTCTCAGGGTGGTTCACAACATTAAAATAAAAGATTAAGAAAACCACACAAAATACATAAAAAAGAACAAAAATGTAAGCTCCCCACTCACTCCCACAACACATTTAAAAGGGTATCACATGCCAATCAGTCAAAGGCCTGGTTGAAGAGGAATGTTTTTGCCTGGCACCTAAAGGTGTATAATGAAGGCACCAGGCAAACTTCCCTGGGGAGAGCATTCCACAGATGGGGAGCCACCGCAGAAAAGGCCCCGTTCTTGTGTTGCTACCCTCTGGACCCCACGTGGAGAAGACACACAAAGAAGGGCCTCAGGAGATGATTTCAGGGTCCGGGTAGATTTATATGGAAAGAGGCGGTCCTTGAGGTATTGCGGTCCTGAGCCGTTTAAGGCTTTATAGATCAAAACCAGCACTTTGAATTGGGCCCGGAAACTAATTGGTAGCCCGTGCAACACCGTCTTGCCCCGGTGAGCAACCTAGCTGCCAAATTCTGCCCCAGCTGGAGTTTCCAAACTGCCTTAAGAGGCGGCCTCACGTATAACATGATGCAGGATGTCTCAGGTCGCGACCCATGCGTCTTGTGACATTGTTTCTCGCACCAGAGATTAAACACAAGACAAAAGGCATCGGGGTTTACAAGCCAGGAAGCGCAGATTCCAAGCAAGCCTGATCACCTTTTAAATATTAGCCCCTGGCTAATGCAGGAATGTGGGTTAGGAAGGGGACAGGAGCTGGGAAATGATGGAAAACCTTGTGACTTGGAACATGGAACAAGGGTGCATTGTCTGTGTGCAGAGTCAACATGGGATCACCAGAGATAATAGCATTAGTGACGGCAACCCCAAAATCCAGCCGTCGTTTCAGTCTGTGTGTGGGCAGACATTATCTCCTTGCAAGGTCACACCCAGAGTTTTTGTGAAGTGTCGTCAGACGCATAGCCAGACCAGATCACTTCCCAGGTTGCTCCAAGACCCTTTTTGGTCTGAGGTTGGGGGCATCGTGCAGCTGTCTGAAACCAAAACCCTTCACCTATTGCGCTGGTCCCCAAAGGTTTTCATTAGACCACCGTTCCATTGGTTCCACGAAGTCGTTCCCAGTGCCCCTGACTCGGCCCTATAAAAAGCATCCTAGCACTTTGCACCGTCCACTAAGGAAGATAATAACATAATAAAACGCAAAACAGCCAACAATGAATTGCACATCTATTCAAAATAAAAGGAAAGCTTGTTGTTTAGTCGTTTAGTCGTGTCCGACTCTTCGTGACCCCCTGGACCAGAGCACGCCAGGCACTCCTATCTTCCACTGCCTCCTGCACTTTGGTCAAACTTATGCTGGTAGCTTTGAGAACACTATCCAACCATCTCTTCCTCTGTTGTCCTCTTCTCCTTGTGCCCTCCATCTTTCCCAACATCAGGGTCTTTTCCAGGGAGTCTTCTCTTCTCATGAGGTGGCCAAAGTCTTGGAGCCTCAGCTTCATGATCTGTCCTTCCAGTGAGCACTCAGGGCTGATTTCCTTCAGAATGGAGAGGTTTTACCTTCTCGCAGTCCACGGGACTCTCAAGAGTCTCCTCCAGCACCAGAATTCAAAAGCATCCATTCTTCGGGGATTAGCCTTCTTTATGGTCCAGCTCTCACTTCCATACATCACTACTGGGAAAACCAGAGCTTTAACTTGTTGGCAAGGTGATGTCTCTGCTTTTTAAGATGCTGTCTAGGTTTGTCATTGCTTTTCTCCCAAGAAGCAGGCGTCTTTTAATTTCGTGACTGCTGTCACCATCTGCAGTGCCAAAGGAAAACTAGTTAAATTAATTTGCCCAAATTGTTGAACTTGATCCAGAGATACCAGCTTTTCAAAGTCTGATAGTCATTACCCCTGTCAGTGCCCCCCTGATGTCCACTTGACCCTTATCACGCCGCCTAGTTAATCCTGCTGCCCCCCAAGAGGGAAATACCACCTGCTTTGAGAACCACTGACCTATTCAAACCATAGCTTGGGCAGGACACAGAGCACCAGTGGGCTGGCAGAGGGTGAAGGTTAATGCCACCTTTCTTGCCCTCTTCCTTGCATCCCAGAGGGGCACCCCTTGAGCATGCCAACTACGAGGCTCCAGGCTCATCACCCTGGTGATCCTTGGCAGGCAGAGAGGTGAGGGCCAGTGCGGTACAATGGTTAGTGTCAGACCAGGAAGTGGGAGACCAGGGTTCAAATCTCCACGCAGCCATGGGACCTTGGGGAGCCAGCCACTGCCTCTCATCCTACCCTACCTTGCAAGGTTGTTGTGGCAGCTAAATGAGCAAGGGGAGAACCATGTGCAGACCACCTTGAAGGAAAAGGTGGGATATAAATGCAATATACAACAAACAAACCTCCAGTCTGTTACATACACCCCTGGACACACTTAGTTTTTGGTTTTTTGAAATCGTTTTTATTTGATTTTACAAATATAAATTTGTAATGCATATCCATATACAGTGGAACCTCGGTTTTCGAGTGTCTCGGAAGCCGAACATTTCAGAATCTGAATGCCGGAAGTAATTGCTTCCGTTTTCGAACGCGCCTCGGAAGTTGAATAGCTTCTGCGGTGTGTTTTTCCATTTTCACCACTGAAATTGCTGGCAGCCCTTTGTGCCGAGGTATAGAGATTACTCTGAATCTTGAGACTTCCATGGGTCAACATTTACAACTGCATAATATTCCATATTCTATGTTTTAAATCAATCCGTATTATCCATAGTATTTGTTACATTAGTGGAAGCGAAAGCCTTGAAAAAGGTCAATATGGAGGTCAAATGGCCGAAATATTGGGAAATTTTGGAACAAGACGGAGATAGACTGAAATTGCAGAGTTTTGAAAAACTAAAAAACAAAGTGCGAGACTGGCTTCATTATTATCAAATAATGGAGGTATTTAAATTGGACAGGAAAATTGGCTTCCAGGTGGAAAGATCCAAATTAGAAACAGAATTGTTAGAACCCAATACTAAGAATTTGTCAAGAATGTATAACCTGCTGCTGAAATGGAATACTCAAGATGAAACGGTAAAATCGGCTATGATTAAATGGGCACAGGACGTTGGTCATAACATTATGTTTGCTGACTGGGAACAGTTATGAACCACAGGTATGAAATTTACGGCATGTAATGCCTTAAGAGAGAATATTATGAAAATGATATACAGGTGGTACATAACCCCAGTCAAGCTTGCGAAAATCTATCACTTGCCCGATAACAAATGTTGGAAATGTAAAGAAATTGAAGGTACATTTTTCACCTTTGGTGGACGTGCCCAAAGATTAAGGCTTTCTGGGAAATGATATATAATGAATTAAAAAGGTATTTAAGTATACCTTCCCCAAGAAACCAGAGGCCTTTCTCCTGGGCATAGTAGGCCAAATGGTGTTAAAAAGGATAGAACTTTCTTTATGTATGCAACAACAGCAGCAAGAATACTCATCGCAAAGTATTGGAAGACACAAGAACTTCCCACGCTGGAGGAATGGCAGATGAAACTTATGGACTATATGGAATTGGCGGAAATGACTGGTAGAATCCGTGACCAGGGAGAAGAGTCGATGGAGGAAGACTGGAAGAAATTCAAAGACTTTCTTCAGAAACACTGCAAAATTAAGGAATGTTAGAGTGATGTTGGATGAAAACAAGTGGTTTCCAGCTGTACAGGTTAAAGTTAAGGATAGATTAAGATTAAAGATCAAGATTAAAGATGTTTAAAGAAATGGAAATTTGATAATAAAAGGGAAAAATTTAAAGCTATATGACATTAAGATCAAGGATTAGGTTTAAAAAAGTTGAAGTTATATATCTTAACGTTTTATTAAATTAAAGATTGAGATTAAAAAGTGGAAAAGAAACTGCTGGACAAATAATGTGGATTGGAATACAAAAGAGGGAGGTATGAGGAAGTCCAGAAAATAAGTAATTTAAAATTGGAAATGGAAAAGAGAGTTTGTTTTTAATTGTTATGTTTTGTGTTTTTATTGTTAAGTTAGGTATTGCTTTTTGTGTGTGTTGTTTTTCTTTTTTGTTTGTTTAAAACCTTAATAAAAAAAATTATTTGTTACATTAGAAGTGGGTTTCAAATCCTGCTAATATTTCCAAAGGACGTTCGCAAACCGGAACACTCACTTCCGGGTTTGCGGCGTCCGGGAGCCAAAACGTTTGACTCGCAAGGCGTTCGGCTTCCAAGGTACGACTATATGCCATAGCTGTCAACTTTCCCTTTTTCTTGCGAGGAATCCTATTCGGAATAAGGGAATTTCCCTTTAAAAAAGGGAAAGGTTGACAGCTATGCTGTACACAGGTGGCGCTGTGGGTTAAACCACAGAGCCTAGGGCTTGCCGATCAGAAGGTCGGCGGTTTGAATCCCCGCGACGGGGTGAGCTCCCGTTGCTCAGTCCCTGCTCCTGCCAACCTAGCAGTTTGAAAGCACGTCAAAGTGCAAGTAGATAAATAGGTACCACTCCAGCAGGAAGGTAAACAGCGTTTCTGTGCGCTGCTCTGGTTCGCCAGAAGCAGCTTAGTTATGCTGGCCACATGATCTGGAAGCTGTACGCCGGCTCCCTTGGCCAGTAAAGCGAGATGAGCGCCGCAACCCCAGAGTCGTTCGTGACTGGACCTAATGGTCAGGGGTCCCTTTACCTTTACCTTTTTATGCTGTACGTTGAAATGGCTCCTAGACACAATTTTGGATCTCTTTTTCCTCCTTGTGCTCCAGTTCTGGAAATCCTGAACCTGATCCACAAAAGGGATCTCCTGGTTGCCGACGAGCACATCATCGAACTGGAGGCTGAGTGTGAGCAGGATGGGCAGCAGAGCACGGAGGGCAGCGAGGTCCGGAAATCCGGGAGCCGGAAAGCCAAGGATGTGGCGCTGCTGTATGAGGCCTTGCAGAAGGAGCTCTGGGCCGTCCTGGCTGAGTCTCTGGCCAGCAAGAGCTCCTGCCCGGCCCTGGAGCTCGTGGTGCGAGTGATCAAGCAGGAGGAGGACACCGACCGCAAGTGGCTGGCGGCTCAAGGGGACCGGGCAGGCGGTTGCGGACCCCGGCCACGGGCCATGAAGGAGCAGTGGGCCGAGGCAGTGCGCCAGCTGGTCGGAGAGCGGCTGCGCCAGTGCACCGAGGGCAGGGTCCTCCCCGTGGCCACCCAGATGGACCGCTTGGCCAAGTGCGCCCTGGAGGACCTGTGCACCGTCAAGTTCCACCTCTTGCACGCCTACCCCAAGGAATACGAGGCCTTCGGGGTCTACCTGTGCAGCTTCCACCAGGGACTCGCCAGGTGCCTTGCCGAGGCAGTCCAGAAGAAGCTGAGCATCTCAGACCTCTACTTCGTCCTGGATTGGAGCAGCAACATCTACCAGAGGTAAAAAGGCAGGGACGGATCCGGAGCGGTCTGCATGCCCTCCAACATTTTTCTATAATATTATTATTATATATATAAGAGAATATATAATATTCTATAATATTATTATTCTATTATTCTATAATAATATTAATAATAATGTTATTATGTATACCCTGCCCATCTGACTGGGTTACCCCAGTGTCTGGGTGGCTTCCAACATACAGTGGTACCTCAGGTTACAGACGCTTCAGGTTACAGACTCCGCTAACCCAGAAACAGTACCTCAGGTTAAGAATTTTGCTTCAGGATGAGAACAGAAATCGTGCTCTGACGGCGCGGCGGCAGCAGGAGGCCCCATTAGCTAAAGTGGTACCTCAGGTTAAGAACAGTTTCAGGTTAAGGACGGACCTCTGGAATGAATTAAGCACCTAACCCGAGTTACCACTGTATATAAAAATATAATTAAACACTGAACTTTTTAATAAAAAAAAATCATCCCTATACAGTGGTACCTCAGGTTAAGAACTTAATTCATTCTGGAGGTCCGTTCTTAACCTGAAACTGTTCTTAACTTGAGGTACCACTTTAGCTAATGGGGCCTCCTGCTGTCGCTGCACGATTTCTGTTCTCACCCTGAAGCAAAGTTCTTAATCCGAGGTACTATTTCTGGGTTAGCGGAGTCTTTAACCTGAAGCGTCTGTAACCCGAGGTACCACTGTACAGGGCTGCCTTCAAATGTCTTCTAAAGGTTGTATAGTTACTTATCTCCGTGACTTGGGGATCACATAACTCCAGACCCTCCAAGTTTCTCCGATGAAAATAGGGACGTCCTAGGGAAAAGAGGGGACGCGGGTGGCGCTCTGGATTAAACCACAGAGCCTAGGGTTTGCCGATCAGAAGGTCGGCAGTTCGAATCCCTGCGACGGGGTGAGCTCTCGTTGCTCGGTCCCTGCTCCTGCCAACCTAGCAGTTCGAAAGCACGTCAAAGTGCAAGTAGATAAATAGGTACCGTTCCAGTGGGAAGGTAAACGGCGTTTCCGTGCACTGCTCTTGTTCGCCAGGAGCGGCTTAATAATAAATTATTATTATTATTATTATTATTATTATTATTATTATTATTTGTACCCCACCCATCTGGCTGGGTTTCCCCAGCCACTCTGGGCAGCTTCCACAAAGACCAAAAATACACTAATATGTCATACATTAAAATCTTCCCTGAACAGGGCTGCCTTCACATGTCTTCTAAAAGTCTGATGGCTGTTTATTTCCTTGACATCTGGTGGGAGGGCGTTCCACAGGGCGGGCGGGCACCACCACCGAGAAGGCCCTCTGCCTGGTTCCCTGTAACTTCACTTCTCGCAGTGAGGGAACCGCCAGAAGGCCCTCGGCGCTGGATCTCAGTGTCCAGGCTGAGTGATGGGGGTGGAGACGCTCCTTCAGGTATACTGGGCCTTTGAGGCCATTTAGGGCTTTAAAGGTCAGCGCCAACACTTTGAATTGTGCTTGGAAATGTACATTTTCCTGCACTGGAGGGGGCTGGACTAGATGATCCTTAGGGTCCCCTCCACCTCTAGGATTCTATTATTCCCTTGCCCCCTTCCATTTATAGGCATGTTTTACCAAGCACTGATCCTCACAGAGCCAAAATGACCCCATCCACCCAGGCTCTAGGAAGTCAGACGTTTGTTCTGACCGGGTTTTGTTCTTATTTTTGTTTGTAATAAACAAGGTAGTTCAGATATGTGACTAATACTTAACACACAGCCTGTCCCTTTGATGAAACACCCTTGATTAAGGGCTTTGAACACCAAAGTCAAAGTTAATCCCGCAGCTGATTTTGGAGGTTAGAGGTCAGCCCAGGGATGTATGAAGTCATAACAGAGCAACCCCTGAGCATGTCCAGAGTGACTCCTGCTCACTACAAGCTTTGCTCCAGACGCGTCTGACTCCAGCCAGCCCTGGCTGCGAGGCTGTCACAGTCTTGCCTTTGTGCACAGACAGTAGGGAGGTTGTGAGCGAAAATTATTAATTATTATTAATATCCCAGCTTCCCTCCAGATTGGGGATCAAGGCAGCTTACACAAATTAAAACAGCTGAGATAAAATATAAGAAGCTAATATTGTATAAAAGACCATCATTAAAGAGTCATTAAACTCTAATAGAATTGAAACAATATTTGAAAATAGATGTATTTGAATACAGATAGTAAAAGCAGCAGAACGCTATGTAAACGTCCTTTCCTTAAAAAGCAATCAGATCCCTAAGGCCTATCAGAACAAAGTCGTCTTTAGTAGGGCTGGGCGATATCTGGTTTTCAGCATCATCATATATCACCAGCTAAACATTGTGATATACCGATATGCTGTGAAGTCTGAAATGAGGATGGAGCTATGTAGAGGCATTGGCTGGCTTCATGGTTTTCCCCACATTGCAATTGTTGCACACACACACACACACACACACACCATGATTTTCAATATATCGCCAGAACAAAAATTATGAAACCGTTATCAGAATTCGCCAGCTAGACTGGTGACTGGGAGCAGCTGCCGAGACCACATAACACCGGTCCTGAAAGACCTACATTGGCTCCCAGTATGTTTCCGAGCACAATTCAAAGTGTTGGTGCTGACCTTTAAAGCCCTAAACGGCCTCAGCCCAGTATACCTGAAGGAGTGTCTCCACCCCCATCGTTCTGCCTGGACACTGAGGTCCAGCTCCGAGGGCCTTCTGCCGGTTCCCTCATTGCGAGAAGCAAAGCTACAGGGAACCAGGCAGAGGGCCTTCTCGGTGGTGGCTCCCGCCCTGTGGAACGCTCTCCCATCAAATGTCAAAGAGAAGAACAACTACCAGACTTTTAGAAGACATCTGAAGGCAGCCCTGTTTACGGAAGCTTTTAATGTTTGATGCATTACTGTACAGTGATACCTCGGGTTACATACGCTTTAGGTTACAGACTTCGCTAACCCAGAAACAGTACCTGGGGTTAAGAACTTTGCTTCAGGATGAGAACAGAAATCGTGCTCCAGCGGTGCGGCGGCAGCGGGAGGCCCCATTAGCTAAAGTGGTGTTTCAGGTTAAGAACAGTTTCAGGTTAAGAACGGACCTCCAGAATGAATTAAGTTCTTAACCAGAGGTACCACTGTATTTTAATATTTTGTTGGAAGCCGCCCAGAGTGGCTGGGAAAGCCCAGCCAGATGGGCGGGGTATAAATAATAAAGTATTATTATTATTATTATTATTATTATTATTATTATTATTACCACCACAATATTGACTTCAAACTGGATGATATATCAATATATCTTCACCTGCCAGTGGAAGCACAACAAGGAGGAGTCCAATCTGGCTTCACTAATAAGGGAGTTCCAAAATTGTCTGGCAGGAGCCACCACCGACAAAGCCCTCTCCTGCTGCCCCATAAAGCGTCCATGTGAGGGCATTTTTTTGGTCGGTGTGTGCGATGTACTTTGCATCCCTCTGGAAGACATCCTGCTTCTCACTCCCGCTCTCTTTCTCTCCGCCGCACAGAGAAGTTCTTGGCCGAGCAGAAATCTCCTCCCTGGTCAAGAGCCAGGAGCTGGGCCCGCTGCTGTCCCCCGAGACCCAACTGAGCCTGGAAGAGGACCTCATTGCTGCTGTGAAGGTAAACGGTGAATCGCAAAAGGGTGATGGGGAAGCAGCTTTCCGTTGCGGCTGCGCTGGGCCCGGGGGTAACCCGTGAAACGTGGTCCAGGACTGGTCCAGAATCCGAAGGTTCTGCTGGGAGTCAGTCCCACAGGGCCAAGGCAGGAAACCAGGCAAGGACAGGTGCAGGATCTAGTATACAGCAATGTTGCTCCCACAACCTGGGGTGGGGTCCGACAGCCTTTCATCTTTGTCGGTCCTGATCCCCCAGCGACTCACCTCCCTGTCTCGCCCAAAGGCAAGCACTCCTCCTGTGAGTACTCAGGTCTCTCCTCCTCTCAGACCTCAGTCTCTGCAGCTCGGGAGACGTCGGTGGGTTACTAGACCCAGAGGCCGCCTCAGCCTCCCCTGACCCAACCGGTAGTGGAGCAGCTGTAAGTGATGGCCCAGCTGGAGGCAACGAGGTCATCCACACATCTGGAGCCAGGGTGGGCTCAGGCCCCGGACTCGGCCCAGCTGGTGCTTGTTGCAGGGGAACCTGTGCCGACTGGGACTCTTCAGGATCAGGCCCCAGACTTGGTTCAGATGATGCCTGAGGCAAAGGATCCGGTGCAGACTGGGACTCCTCTGGTTCTGAGTCCGAGTCCGAGTCCCAGGCCATCACGGCGGCTAATGAGGACGTAAGAAGTCCTTTCCGCAGGAGGCGAGGGCGGCCACCAAGCTAAATGGGTTTAAAAGAGGGATTGGGCAAATTCATGGCAGAGAGGGCCAGTTGGAGACATCAATGCTTTTGAATGTCAGGGTCTGGGAGCCAGAGGAGGGGAGACGGGCCTTGCTTGCAGATTTCCCATAATGGGCATCTGGTTGGCCACTGTGAGAACAGGATGCTGGACCAGAAGGACCACAGGCCTCATCCTGCAGGGCTCTTTTTAGGTTCTTAGGGTGGCAGGCATGTAGACAAGCCGCTGATTTTGCCCGTTCTCTCCCTGTTGTGCACCTTTCCTTGCTTGTTCGTAGGCGAAGATCACCGAGGACATGAGCCAAGAGCTTCAGAAGGAGGAAGAGAGGTGGGCGCAAGACGACGCAGGCGACGGCTTCCAGTTCGGCCTGTCTGGCAAAGTCATACTGGTAGGTGGGAGACTTGGCCACCCAAAGGAGCCAGCGGCTTTGCCTGTTGGACTTCTGCCTGCATGCTTCGCTCTCCCTCTCGCTCTTCCTTCACGTCTGCATGGAGCTTCAGCCATTTACACTTACTGGCCACAGTTTGGCAAGGCGGCAATTTGTTTATTACGGTCCATAGGCAGGATTCTGGATCTATCCCAGCCCTGCCCGGAAATCCCAGGGGTTGACCAGGTGTTCTGTCCCTGAGCCATGTCTCTTCCTATGGAATTTCCCTTAAAAACCCAGACTGGATTCTCACTCATTCCTGTGACTTCTGACTTGGGAGAATCAGAGGCAAACAAACCCATTTTGGAGATTCGCTGGTGTTGCCAAGTGTGGTGCCAGCTAGCCAATTCCTCACCCTTCCAGTCTCACCCCCTGGAACAATGAACCGTCAAGTGCTTGGAGCTAGCCGCCCCGTTCCCTTGTGATACTGAGTTCCTGGGTTTGCATACATGCAGGTGTTTTTGCCAGTGTGCATTCTCAATGTCACCAGGAGAGAAGGGCTGGACCACCTAGAATCATAGGATCAAAGAGTTGTAAGGGACCTCAAGGATCACTTAGTGAGCCCACTGTGGGATGTGAAACACAAGAGCAGTCAAGTACAACATCCCTAGAGTGGACATAAAAGGGGATCTCTGGACCAGCCAGTCGGAACTTCCTGTTTCTCCTGTCTGGGACAGACTTCCTCTGCATGTGACTAGAGGTGGCCGTGACCTTACCTGTGCAGGTAACAAAAGCATAGGACTGGTCAGCCATCTCTCTCTCTCTGACTACTTTTGTTGAAGAAGCAACATCTGCTTAGCCAAAGATGCTTCCAGCCAAGAAAGGACAAAGGGACTGTCTCCTTATGAGATAGTTTCCAGGTGTACTTTACTCTTCCAAGCTAAGTCTGCCTTCTGGGATCCAACTGTGAACAGAATGTGAGTGAGTAAACCCTTTTAATACATTTATAAAAGACTGTATTGTGTCTTATCTTTTTATGAGGGACTAGGGAGCCAGCGTGGTATAGTGGTTAAGAGCAGTGGACTCGTAATCTGGTGAACCGGGTTCGTGTCCCCGCTCCTCCACATGCAGCTGCTGGGTGACCTTGGGCCAGTCACACTTCTCTGAAGTCTCTCAGCCCCACTCACCTCACAGAGTGTTTGTTGTGGGGGAGGAAGGGAAAGGAGAATGTTAGCTGCTTTGAGACTCCTTAAAGGTAAAGGTAAAGGTACCCCTGCCCGTACGGGCCAGTCTTGACAGACTCTAGGGTTGTGCGCTCATCTCACTCTATAGACCGGGAGCCAGCGCTGTCTGCAGACACTTCCGGGTCACGTGGCCAGCGTGACGAAGCTGCTCTGGTGAGCCAGAGCCGCACACGGAAACACTGTTTACCTTTCCGCTAGTAAGCAGTCCCTATTTATCTACTTGCACCCGGGGGTGCTTTCGAACTGCTAGGTTGGCAGGCGCTGGGACCGAGCAACGGGAGCGCACCCCGCCGGGGGGATTCGAACCGCTGACCATGCGATCGGCAAGTCCTAGGCGCTGAGGTTTTACCCACAGCGCCACCCGCGTCCCAAACTCCTTAGGGTAGTGATAAAGCGGGATATCAAATTCAAACTCTTCTAAATGGGGAATTACCTTTAAAATTTATTTAGAGGCTTTAGTGAGCCTGAGCAAACACATCCGCTGTGCAAACTTTAAAAGGGGGAATGTTACTCTGCTAAATTGTATAATAAAACAATATAGCTTCTCCTGCATCCCTGAACGTTCCCACACCCACTGCAATGCAGGAATCACAGCTGAAGAGTCCCTGGCGGGTGACCACCCAACCTCTGCTTAAGAACCTCCAAACCTTTTGAAGTGATCCGTTCCACTGTCAAATGGCTTTTACCACCAGAAAGTTCTTCATGACATTTAGTTGGCACCTCCATTTGAATCCACTGGTTCAGGTCCTGCCCACTGGATTAGCAGAATCCGACCCTGCACAGCCCTTCAGATGTTTGAAGGCCATCTACTCTTCTCCATGTTGAACATACCCAGCTCCCAAGGCTTGGCTTCCAGTCCCTTGATCTTGTTGGTTGCCCTCTTCTGCACACCTTTCAGCTTGTTCGTACCCTTCTTAAACCGGGAACTGGGCACAGGACTCCAGTACTTCCTCTTATGAAAGACTTCATCCCTGCCTACTCTTGCCTGTTCCTTCCCTGCTTCATCTTTGCTGAGATGTTCCCTCTCCTGGGACTGAAGAGTGGCTGGCTGGGAGTCCTTTGCGGCTGGGCAGGGTGCATAGCTGTCAACTTTCAGATTTGAAAAGAAGGGATCAGCAGCCTCACCTGCCCCGGGGACAGTCTACGGGATATTTTAACAATCTGGGATAGACTTCCGGTTGGCTGCACAATTAATGGCGGACGGGAGCTCTTTCGGATGAAAGAGCCCCAGCGCCTTGAAGTTCGGGGTGACCGCGAGAGCGTCGCAGAACCCCCAAAAAACCTCAGATCGAGCGTTCTGAGGACCTGGTGTTCTGGCAGGTACCCTTTGCGATATATACGATATATACGGGATATCTAGCAATCCGGGATAGCAGCGGGAAACAGCACTGGAATAAGGGAATATCCCGCAAAAAAGGGAATGTTGACAGCTATGGCAGCGTGGCTCTCCAAAGGCACCCATCTCTTGATTTTCTCACAGGCCTTTTCTCCCTCTCTACAGGTGCTGAAGGCTCACGTAGACAAAGCGCCCCAGATCACAGAAGATTTTGGAAGGAGGATGGCACATTGCTGCCTGAGCTGCTTGGCAGACTTCCTGCAGAGGTAGTTCCCTTCTGAAAGACGGGCGAGGGCGACACCGGGAAAAGAAAACCAAGCTCTTCTTTTCACTGCGGGTTCGGTGGGGAAGCAGCGCGTGGTCTAGAGCATTGATAGAAGCCTTGCTTTTAATAATTAATAATAATAATAATAATAATAATTTATTTATATCCTGCCCTCCCCAGCCGAAACCAGGCTCAGAGCAGCTAACAACAATAAAAGTAACACAGCATTCTAAAATCAATTCATTTTAAAATCAATTCAAAATCAAACTAAATTAATGGCAACCATTGGGCTAGAGTTCTGTGAGGATTACCAAAGGAGGGGGTCAGACTGTGCCTTGGCCAAAGGCCTGGTGGAATTTTAAATTATATATATATTATAATATAATATATATATTTTAATTTGAACTGCCGACCTTCTGATCGGCAAGCCCTAGGCTCTTTGAAATGAATGAACCTGACTCAGGTGCCTTCATTCCAATGGGTCTTAGTTGTTGTTGTTGTTCTTAACTCCCTGCCCCTCACTGTAAGGTTCCAGAGCAGGCTGCAACGTTAAAACACAATATGGGGCTTCGCTGCAGCTGACGACAGAGCAGAGGCTTAGCATGCAAGATCCAGCCCTCCCGTCTCAGTCAAAAGGGTCTCAGGTCACATGGGGCCCTGGAGAGGACAAGACGGACAGAGAAACAGTGTGGGGTAACAGTTAAAAGTGTTGGACTGGGACCTGTGAGACCCGGGTTCGAATCACCACTCAGCCATGAAGCTCAGGGGGTGATAGTCACTGCCTCTTAGCCAAACCTACCTCCCAGGGCTGGGAATGTGGGATGTGGGAATAAATGGGGAGCAGGGAGAACCATGCATGGAGCTCCTTGGATAGGAAATAAATACAGTGGTACCTTGGGTTACAGATGCTTCAGGTTACAGGTGCTTCAGGTTACAGACTCCGCAAACCCAGAAATGGTACCTCAGGTTAAGAACTTTGCTTCAGGGTGAGAACAGAAATCGTGCTCCAGCGGCGCAGTGGCAGCAGGAGGCCCCATTAGCTAAAGTGGTACCTCAGGTTAAGAACAGTTTCAGGTTAAGAACGGACCTCCGGAACGAATTAAGTTCTTGACCCGAGGTACCACTGTAAACAACATTACAGTACTGCAATGCAGTATTAAACACAATATTCAGATGCAATTCGGTATATCGTCAAATATACTGCATGCTTCTAGAGATCCAGGGGGAGGGAGCTGAACCCCAAATAATAGCCCTTCTATCCTGCCCTTCCTCCAACGGAACATAACCCGGTCCTTCCCTCTCTCTTTTTTCATTGCAACAATCCTGCGAGGTAGGCCAGTCTGAGACTTGCAGTCTGCGCCACTTGCAAGGCAGTGGGTGTCCTGCAGAAGGCAGCAATGGCGGCGGCAAAGCATGTTGTGGCACAGGGCCGAGGAATAAGCTGCGCAGGCGAGGGTTGCAAAAAAAACCCCTTGTTTTCCCGCCGGCCTGGGGAGGAGGGAATCGTCCCAAGGAAACCAAAGCCTGCCCTGAACTGCTCTCGCCGCAACCGCTTTCCGTGTGGGTGGCACGTAGGAGGCAGCCGGGGTGGAGTAGCGGGTTTAGGAACACCCACCGGACGGTGGCAGCCGAATGGCATGCCGTTTCCATTTCAAACTGGCCACCGAGGACCAGGGTCATCCCGGGGTATAAATAGCCGCTCCGTAAGGAAATGCCAGCAAGATGGAGCCAGAGGACAAAGCCCCCCCCCCGCCCCCGGTGGAGTCAGCCAGGGATGGAAATCCAAAGCTATTCTTAGCAGGTCTGCTTCCTGGTGCGCCTGTTTCAGAAAGCTGGGTGTGTGTCGTTGTTTGTCTGAATGGGATGTTCGTGTCCTCTGGGGACCCGAAAACCCAAGGAAGACCAGAGGTTCACCGTGGGGCTGCTACCCCGGTTAACAGTGGGATGATGGGGGCTTGGAAGAGCCACCTACTGGTTTTAGCAGCGTCCAGTGAGCTTCCTGGCCTTGGCGGGATTTGAACCCCGATCTCCCAGGTCCAACCATGACAGATGGTTGTGGGAAGATGCCGTGAGGCACGGCGGGTGCTTTTGAGCAGGACTTCTTTGCACCACCTGAATTTCACTCTGCCTTTTCTCTCCCTCTTTGCGCCCCCCCCCCCCCAGTTTTCAGAGGAAGGTCGAAAGGTTCCACGAGGGGCAGATTGAGACCCCCCTCACTGCCGACGCCTTAATGGACCGGACCATCATGCTCATCAATCACTGCCCACCTTTTAGGTAAGAGACGGACTCTCATTCTTTTTCCTTTCTCCTCCTGTGATGAGGCTGCATTTTAATATTTTAATATTTCAATATTTTAATGTTGTATTTTAATCTTGTTTTTAAGTTGTATTCATTCAACTTGTTTTTATTATTGCTTGTTAGCCGCCCTGAGCCCGGCCTTGGCTGGGGAGGGCGGGGTATAAATAAAAATTATTATTATTCCCCCTTTAAGCCTCGAGTGCCAGGGGAAAACCAGAGAAGCTGAAAGTTCAACCCCTTCTCCTCTGGCCCCCACAATCGCTGCAAATTCTCCTGTCCCCCCACAACCATGTCCTAACCTGTTGTGTATCGGCCTGAACTTGGACCCTCTCCGCTTGCACAACGACATTGAAAAGCTCACCCCCACTTTCACTTCACCCCTATTTGGGTTGTATTGGGTACTCATTTGTTTTTACGGGACCGCCTCTCCTGGTCTGCCCCGCAGAGGACCTTAAGGTCCATGAATAATCATAGTTTAGAGGTCCCGGGCCCTAAGGAAGTCAGACTATCCTCCACCAGGGACAGGGCCTTCTCAGTGACGGCTCCGACCTGCTGGAATGCTCTGTCCCAGGAGACCAGGGCCCTGCAGGATTTAACTTCCTTCCGCCAGGCCTGTAAGACAGAGCTATTCCACCTGGCTTTCAACTTGAACTTAGCCTGATCTTTTATTCCCCTTCCTTCCCTCCCCCTTTTATGAAGATTACCCGCTCTGGGATCCCACAGCTAATTTTTCCCTTGGTCTCCTCGCTGGCCCAAATAGGACTAATTTAGCCAGCTAGCCCTGGTGATCATCTAATGTTTATTGGATGGATTTCCCCCCAAATTGATTTTTGAATTCTGAATTTATTGTTATTCACGTTTTATACTGTATTTTATGCTGTTTTTTGTTGCATCGATTAAGTGTTTGAAATTTGTTGTTAGCCGCCCTGAGCCCGGTTTTTGAACTGGGAAGGGCGGGGCATAAATAATAATTATTATTATTATTTTCTCGGATCTGAGAGCTTTGCTCCTTTTGCGGCAATCCAATCCTACCCACTGAATTGAAGCTTGGTCAAGCAAAATCTCTCTCTGGATTTTCCACACGCTTCTCCGCCTGTGCCTCCTCTCCATGGCGAGAATGTACCGTATTTTTCGCTTCATAAGACACACTTTTTTCCTCCTAAAAAGTAAGGGGAAATGTCTGTGCGTCTTATGGAGCGAATGTGTGGTCCCTGGAGCTGAATTGTCCAGGGGCAAAAAGCAGATCATGGCTTTTTTTTTTGAAAGAGGGAAGTGAGTGTTGAAACAAAGCCGCTAATCGTTTGCCGATCAGGGAGAGAGATAAGGGACTCTAGAGATAAAGGAGGCTTCCTGGGAGGGGGGGCGATAAAGACAGCAAACTTGCAAGGAGAGGAGACAGGAAGACTAAAGCAATGAGGAGAGAAATTAGAAGAAAAGAGGAGCAAAAAACTGTTCCAGCTAAGGAAAAGACACTAAGAGGGAAGGGAGTGTTGAAAGGAACCAGCTGATCAGTGGGATCGGAAGAGAGATAAGGGTCACCCCAAATTCACCATCAGATCACATAGCATGTCCATGGCTATAGCCTGCACCAAAAAAATCACGCACCCACTGTTCCGTGGGGCCGCAATGGTGCAAAAACATGGTTACAAAGCACGGATCCACATGGATTCTCAGGATTTTTGCATTGGGCTACCCCAAACTCACCGTCAAATCACATGTCTGTGGCCACAGCATGAACCACAAAAATCACACATCCACTGTTTCGTTCAGAATATTTTTTTTCTTGTTTTCCTCCTCTAAAAACTAGGTGCGTCTTATGGTCAGGTGCGTCTTATGGAGCGAAAAATACGGTAGGCCCTGTGTTCTGCCCCGCTGACCAGAATCTCTCCCGCAGGGATTACGTGGAGCGATTGGCGAGGTTCGGCCACCCTGAGAGCGAGGCAGTGAGGTGCCAGGCCAACGCCTCCCTTGACAGAGTGACTCGACTGTGCAACAGGGTCTTGGCTGACCACCTCTTTCAAAACCTCAAGGTATTGATTTTGGAGAAGACGTCCCCAGAGGGATGTTAGTGGGAGCAGACTGAGGGAGGGAGAAATCGATCTAACATGATCTCATCCAACATGATCTCGGAGTGGGTGAGGAATACCGGGGAGAAACTAACACATGGTTAATCTGTGGAACTCACTGCTGCAGGAAGCTGTGATTTGCCCCACTGAAGACGGCTTTATTTATTTATTTATTTTTAATTTTTTATTAGTTTTTTAACATATCATTTTCAACAATAATTCAACATACTTTTATATCTTATACAGTTTTTTTTTACTTCCATCAATCACATCTGAAAATTTTTCCAATCTATTCACTTAAGTTACATTTCTTGCTTTCACTCTTGCATTTAAACTCATAACTAATATCTCTAGTCTTTCTCTACTTTGTAACACTTCATATATTTCTCCTTACAAAACTTCTTGTAGTCCTGCTAGCGTAATTTGTTGATTACAGCTGCTCTTCAAATAGTTCGTATATTTCTTCCAATCTTCTGTAAATCTCTGGTCTCACAGGTTTCAAATCCTTCCTGGCATTTTATCCAATTCTGCGTAGCCCATTAATTTTATCTGCCATTCTTCTTTCGTCAGAATCTCTTCTTGCTTCCATTTCTGGGCTAACAATACTCTTGCCGCTATTGTTGCATATAAAAACAATTTAACATCTTGCCTGTTAATATCCTCACCTATAATACCAAGTAAAAATGCTTCTGGTTTTTTTGAAAAATGTATATTTCAACATCTTTTTCACCTCATTATATATCATTTCCCATGAGTTTTTGACTTTCTTACATTCCCACCACATATGGTAAAACGTTCCTTCTTTTTCTTTACATTTCCAACATTTGTTATTTGTCTTATGCATTCTAGCTAATTTTACGGGTGTAATATACCATCTATACATCATTTTCATAATGTTCTCTTTCAAGGCATTAAAAGGTAAAGGGTAAAGGGACCTCTGACTGTTAGGTCCAGTCGTGGCCGACTCTGGGGTTGCGGCGCTCATCTCGCTTTATTGGCCGAGGGAGCCGGCGTACAGCTTCCGGGTCATGTGGCCAGCATGACTAAGCTGCTTCTGGCGAACCAGAGCAGTGCACGGAAACGCCATTTACCTTCCCGCCGGAGCGGTACCTATTTATCTACTTGCACTGGCGTGCTTTCGAACTGCTAGGTTGGCAAGAGCAGGGACCGAGCAACGGGAACTCACCCCGGCATGGGAATTCGAACCGCCGACCTTCTGATCGGCAAATCCTAGTCTCTGTGGTTTAACCCACAGCACCACCCACGTTCAAGGCATTACAAGCTGTTAATTTTATTCTTTCTTTCCACAATCTTTCCCAATCATTTCTCATTCCTCCTTTTTCCCTCCTCTGCCCCATGCAGCCCCACTTCCAAAAGCTGATGAAAAGGAAGTGGCTCAGCAACTCGGAGGCCTTCTCCACCATCATGGACACCCTGGAAGAACACGCCCGGAAGCTGAGGAAGATGAAGACGGAGCCGTACCAGGTGAGCGGCCTCCCAGGAAGGCAAATGGCCCGGCCTCCAAGCCATTGCTGCTGTGATAAGAATTTTAAGGTCTTAGATATATAATAAATGTTCATACGTGTACCAACCAAGCATGTTGGTACATTTACCAGCACAGAAAGACCAACCTGAAACCATTTTGATTCCCAAACTGACCAAATGTTTGGCTATTTCTGCATATTCCATTACCTTCTGTCGCCATTCTTCTACTGTTTGTATTTGCTGTTGTTTTCAGACCAGTATTATCATCTATACTTTTCAGATATACACATTTCACTGGTTTCGCAGTCATTATGACATTTCAAAACTGGACTTCCTTCCCCCTCTTTCTGCGGTTCCTTAAATTTATTTTTAATACCTCCTGCATGTCCAAATTCACTTAACTTACTGATGTATTTATCTTCTTTAAATAGATACTCTTATGCAGGTTATTGCAATTATCCTCCCAGTGCGTTTATCTGTTTACAGTTTATCTGTAAATGTTCCATAAACCATTTCCACTCTTTTATAAAAAGTTTGTTATCTTGATTTCTTATCCTTCCGGTAAGTTTCGCCATTTCTGCCTACAGTGGTACCTCTGGTTACATACTTAATTCGTTCCGGAGGTCCGTTCTTAACCTGAAACTGTTCTTAACCTGAAGCACCACTTTAGCTAATGGGGCCTCCCACTGCAGCCGCACAATTTCTGTTCTCATCCTGAAGCAAAGTTCTTAACCCGAGGTATTATTTCTGGGTTAGCGGAGTCTGTAACCTGAAGCGTATGTAACCTGAAGCGTATGTAACCTGAGGCACCACTGTAGGTTTTTGTATCCATTCTTCCTCCTTTGCTGGGGCTTCCTTTTCTTTCCAATTTTTGGGCAAATACCGTTCTTGCCCCTGTAGCTGCATACGTGAATAAGTTTCTGTGCAATTTAGGCAGCTGCTTCCTTGTCTCTCGCCAGATGTTCCTGAAGGATGTGCACCGCCGGGTGCTTATCGAGTACGTCCGGCCCCTGATGCGAGTGCGGTTTGTCTGCACAACCTCCAAGATGAGGACCAAGATGGCAAACAAGCTGCGGCAAGAAGCCAAGCAGTTGGAGGAGTTCTTCAGCCAGCTGGTGAGGACCGGGGGTGTGGGGTGAGGTGTGGGCCCCCCTGCCACCAAAGCGGGGCTGGCGGTGGGAGAGGGCAGGTGAAGAGGAGGAAAGTAGCGCCCCTGGACCTGCCTCTAGCCCAGGCGTAAAAACCAATAGAAAAAAGACAGTCATGGAATTACGAAATTGCACAAAACAAATGAAATACAGTGGTACCTCGGGTTAAGTACTTAATTCGTTACGGAGGTCCGTTCTTAACCTGAAACTTTTCTTTTTTTTTTTTTAAATGATATTTATTAAAATTTCAGAAAAAAAGAATTACACAAAAACAAGAAGTAAGAATACAAGAAAAATACAAAATACAAAGTACAGAATAAAAGAATAAAAAACACTTAAAGAAGAAAAAAAGAAAAATAGATCAATTTTTCCATACCTTACATTCATATCTTTGTTTCCCTGACCTCCTCATACCTCCCTTTTTTGTATTCCAGTTCAGTTAGTTAATTCAGCAATTTCTTTCCCTCTTTATTTTCTCATGATCCTTTAACTTAATATACTATGACTTTAAATTTTCACCTGTTATCAATCCTTTTTTACATGCACCTTTATAGCATTACTGCTTAAACCACCTAACTTCATTCCAACATCATTCTAACATTCATTAATTTTGCAATATTTCTGTAAATAGTCTTTAAATTTCTTCCAATCTTCTTCCACCGACTCTTCTCCCTGGTCTCGGATTCTGTCAGTCATTTCCACCAATTCCATGTAGTCCATCACCTTCATCTGCCATTCTTCCAGAGTAGGTAGGTCTTGTGTCTTCCAATACTTTGCAATAAGTATTCTTGCTGCTGTTGTGGCATACATAAAGCAAGTTCTGTCCTTCTTTAACACCAGTTGGCCGACTATGCCCAGGAGAAAGGCCTCTGGTTTCTTCAAGAAGGTATATTTAAATACCTTTTTCAATTCATTATAAATCATCTCCCAGAAAGCCTTAATCCTTGGGCACGTCCACCGAAGGTGAAAGAATGTACCTTCAGTTTCCTTACATTTCCAACATTTATTATCGGGCAAATGATAAAATTTTGCAAGCTTGACTGGGGTCATGTACCACCTGTATATCATTTTCATAATATTCTCTCTTAAGGCATTGCATGCCGTAAACTTCATACCTGTGGTTCATAACTGTTCCCAGTCAGCCATCATTATGTTATGTCCAACATCTTGTGCCCATTTAATCATAGCAGATTTCACCGTTTCATCCTGAGTATTCCATTTCAGCAGCAAGTTATACATTCTTGACAAATTCTTAGTTTTGGGTTCTAACAGTTCTGTTTCTAATTTTGATTTTTCCACCTGGAAGCCAATTTTCTTATCCAAATTGTATGCCTCCATTATCTGATAATAATGAATTCGTTTGCTTCTCCTTCAACTCAATCATAGACAATATTGACCTGTGGTCTTCAAGTTGTTTGTGTATTGGTGGTATCTTCTCTTCTACAACAGTTGCTGTAGCAGTTGCTATTTCCTTTGCCTCTTCAGCTGTCTTTTGTGTCGAGGTAGATTCCTGTAGTAATTTCTGAATAGTTTCTGTGTTGGTATTTACCTTCTGTCCCAAATTATTAATACTTGTTTACTTATTCTTTCCAAAGATTCATTGATTTTACCTAGTGCCTGAGCCAAAGCATCTTCAGCTGCCATTCCTTTGGGTTTAGGTTGTGCCGATGAGGCTACTGTTGGTAATCCAGAAGGGCCAGATGTCGATGCTCTTCGCTGCAGCCCACCGTCTGTGCGAAATAGTCTGCCAGACCTCGTTGTTTTTTCCTGTAACAAATCTATCTTCTCCTTTCCATCTGCCATAGCCCTCAAGATAAAACCCAAGGTCAGTCTCACGATCAGAATTTGTTTTGAAGTGGAAAATTCCCCTGGCCCAGCTGCTATTGTAACAACTTCAAACTTCCTCTAGGGGGACACAGTAGCAGTCAAAAAGTCTTAGAGTAATTAACCTTTTACCTTTAGCCCCCCAATTCACAAAAAGGGTGACAGTTTCAATCTCAATTGTTTACAGTTACTTTAAAACCAGGAGAAGCCAGCCAGAAATATTGTATCTTACTTGTATCTCAGATTCAGAGTTAACTGTCATAAAGTACTTTCAGCAGCAGCGCATTTCACAATACGGCATTCTAACTGTTCACTGGCAACCCGTTCCCAGGTTTGAGCGGTGGATTTTAGCTTCTTTTTCTCTCTTTTTGCAGGGAAATACAGTTCAGACCTTCCCCCCCTCCTCCCCTGCAATCAAGGGGGGAAATCAACTTAATTTGATGTTAGAATTATAATCCTTTTCCAACGTCTTTCGAGGTTTCCGCTTACAAGTTCATTGCTTTACTCCATTTACAAAGAACGGAAGGCAGACTTCCTGTTTATGCCTCTCCGCTTCGGTACCAAATTATTTCTTAGTTCCTTTGTTTCCGAAATTAGCCTACTCACGGATCGTTGTTTTGCAACCAAATTGTCCCAGGAAAAAGGCAGCGCTCTCCAGTAACGGCTGTGCGGCTTCGCTCCACGGAAGAAGCAATTGACTCACAGCACCGCGCCACTTCCCCGCTCCGCTCCGGAACCCGTAATCGGGCTCCTTTGCAAGTTGGGGGGGCGCGAAAGGTGCCCGCCGAGTCCCACAGTCACAGGCTTCACCCGCCTGTGATTTTTGAAGGGTCCCCGCTTCGCCGTAGCGGTGCAGACCCGATTTCCGCAGAGCAGGTTCCCTCCAAGTCAGAGGGAATCCGCCATTACCGATGGCGCCACCCCGGAAGTCTCGAAACTGTTCTTAACATGAAGCACCACTTTAGCTAATGGGGCCTCCCGCTGCCGCCGTGCCACCATAGCATGATTTCTGTTCTCATCCTGAAGCAAAGTTCTTAACCCGAGGTACTATTTCTGGGTTAGCGGAGTCTGTAACCTGAAGCGTATGTAACCTGAAGCTTATGTAACCCCAGGTACCACTGTACCGTGAAAATCCCTAAGACGAGAAGTAATCGACTAGAAATATTACCTTGTGGAAATAATAATAAAAATCAAAAAGCTTAAGGAAAAAAATAGAGAAACCTAAAATAGAACAAAGCCTTAACGGGATGCCGGCTACAAACCTCATTTCACTGAACTATTCAGTTTCCCCAGAAAGAAATAGAAAATCATAAACTTTAAATGACCAAAGTTCAAAATTGTAGGTTTTTCTGATTTTTTCCTTAAGCTTTTTGATTTTTATTATTATTTCCACAAGATAATATTTCTACTCAATTACTTCTCGTTTCAGGGATTTTCACGCTAATTTCATTTGTTTTGTGAAATTTCTAGCCCAGGGGTAGGCAACTTAAGGCCCAGGGGCCGGATGCGGCCCAATCACATTCTAAATCCAGCCCACGGACGGTCTGGGAATCAGTGTGTTTTTACATGAGTAGAATGTGTCCTTTTATTTAAAATGCATCTCTGGGTTATTTGTGGAGCATAGGAATTCGTTCATTTTTTCCCCTTCAAAATATAGTCCAGCCCCCCACCGCCCCCACGGTCTGAGGGACCGTGAACTGGCCCCCTGCTGAGAAAGTTTGCTGACCCCTGCTCTAGCCATTGCTTTATTGCTTTTTATTTTTAGAAGTAGATCAAACAGATTGATACAATAAAGAGAACAGAATCACAAAAAAGGAGAAGTATGTCTGCTAGATACTTAAATCCAGTCAGCAGAGACCATTAAAAGGTAAAGGGACCCTTGACCATTAGGTCCAGTCGTGGCCGACTCTGGGGTTGCGGCGCTCATCTAGCTTTACTGGCCGAGGGAGCCGGCATACAGCTTCTGGGTCATGTGGCCAGCATGACTAAGCCGCTTCTGGCGAAGCAGAGCAGCGCATGGAAACGCCATTTACCTTCCCACCGGAGCGGTACCTATTTATCTACTTGCACTTTGACGTGCTTTCGAACTGCTAGGTTGGCAGGAGCAGGGACTGAGCAACGGGAGCTCACCCCGTCATTGCGGGGATTCGAACCGCCGACCTTCTGATCGGCAAGTCCTAGGCTCTGTGGTTTAACCCACAGCGCCCGACGGGGCCTTATCTCCCTTGTCTGACCAGTTCAGCAGTGGGATCCTCCATTAGATTTTAACCCTTGCTGGGTCCAGGACCCCAGAGATTAGCAGGGCATCCTGCAGACTGACACCCCATCACCAAAAATTCACAGCAGTGTGATAAAACGCCATAATTATATTATTATTTTTTTGGAGGGGGGGTTTCTCTGAACTTTTGGCAACACTTAATTTCCGAGTTGTTTTTTCACCTACTGCTAAAACGCCTTGCATTCTTCTACCAAAGCGAAAGTCCTGTTGAATAGTTGGATTTCATCAGGCACCCACACAGGGGTGCCGAAAACCGAGCTTTCTTCCATGTCCTTTACCTCCAGTCACCCCCAGCACCAGGGCATTGTTTACCAGAGTTGTTTTTCTTGTTGTTCTAGGAGGAGGAGCCGTGGTAGTAATTATATCCCCTTCTCTGAGAATCATTCAAGGCAGCTTGCTGCAAAAATAGAAGCAGTGTTTTGTTTTGTTTTTTTAAAAAAGGTGCAATCAAAAACAAAAGCAGTAAAAATATCATGCCCTCAAAGGGCCGTGGCTCAGTTGGCAGAGTCTATTCCGCATGCAGGAGGTCCCAGATAATAATAGTAATAGTAATAATAATAATAATAATAATAATAATAATAATAATAATAATTTTATTTATATCCTGCCCTCCCGGGCCAAAGCTGGGCTCAGAGCGGCTAACAACAAGTCAAAATAGCACAGTGTATATAAAATCACACAGTCAGATAATTAAAATACATTATAAAATCAATTCAGAATCAAATGAATGGCAACCATTGGGCTAGAGTTCAATGAGGATTACAGAAGGAGGGGGTCAGACAGTGCCTTGGCCAAAGGCCTGGTGGAACAGCTCCGTCTTGCAGGCCCTGCGGAAAGATGTCAAGTCCCGCAAGGCCCTAGTCTCTTGTGACAGAGCGTTCCACCAGATCGGGGCCACTGCCGAAAAAGCCCTGGCTCTGGTTGAGGCCAGCCTAACCTCCCTGTGGCCTGGGACCTCCAAGATGTTTTTGTTTGAAGACCGTAAGGTCCTCCGTGGGACATACCAGGAGAAGCGGTCCCGTAGGTACGAGGGTCCTAGGCCATTGTAATAAATGTAGGGGTTGCTCGTGCGTAAGTTGGTGCCACTCCTGGCTAGGTTGCCTTGTTAAACCTTTTCTGTCTGGACAGCCCCTGCACTTTGTGGCTGTTCAGTCGCTAGCAGAATCCGTCAGTGGGCGTTTCTTAAACCTTCTCCAGCATAAAAGTTGTTTGACTCCAAGTCTCCTCCTACTCTCCCTGCGTGGAAGTCTTCTGCGCAGGGAGGGCGTGGGTAGCGGAGGACCCGTGCTCTCCTCACTGATCTCCGGTGAGGAGTCCTGGAGCCCCCTCGCCGATTCCCCCATCTGCCCCCCTTTATCCCTCGTGTTACGCTGATTTCTTTCCCCAGCTGGTGAGCCGCCTCTCCCCCTGCTGGGCCCCTCTCCAGCATCGCTCGAGAGCCTCGCCTCCGCCTCTGGCTCCGATGTCAGTTCCCTGACAGCCATATAGGGCTTTAAAGGTTAAAACCAGCACCTTGAACCTGATCCTGTACTCCACCGGGAGCCAGTGCAGCTGGTATAGCACTGGATGAATGTGATCCCATGGCAAGGGATCCCATCCCCGACAGCATCACCAGGAACCCTGCCTGAAGCCCTGGCTGCCAGCCCAGACCATCCTGAGCTAGATGGACCCAGTGGTCTGACTCAGTATAAAGCAGAGGTATTAAGCAGAGGTTGGATGGCCATCCGTCATGGATGCTTTAGCTGAGATTCCTGCATTGCAAGGGGTTGGACTAGATGACTCTTGGCGCCCCTTCCAATTCTACAATTCCATGGCAGCAGATTCCTTTGTTCCTGAAACTTAAAACCAGCAGTCCCAAGAGCAACATTCACAAAGTGTCATGGCGGTTGTCAGGAGCAGGTCACCATTAAATCACATGGAGCAAGCCAATTCTTTATTTATCCTGGTCGGCTCAGGAGCACAGCAACTCTTCTCGGAAGGTCTTGCCCCTACAAGGCAGTTGTGGAGGCTAAAGATCCACGCCTTCCCACAGCTCTAAGTCTCCTCCTCCACCTAGTCCTTCCCCAGCAATCTGAGACTATGCCAATGTGCCTGTATCTGTCCTCTCTCTTCATACCTCTTTGGGTCCTGGGAGACCAGAGGGGAGGGGAGCCTGTCGCAGCAGGAGGGGGAGACTCCCTGGCTTCTTCCCCAGTCTGCCTTCACTCTGCCTCTTGGACCATCTCCTCTCCAGCCTCCTCTTCTGCCTCTGAGTCTAGACTGCTCTCCGCCACAGCCTCTTCCCGCTCACCAAACCTTGCTACCCTTTCAGCTTCCAGCATCTCCTCCCCCTGGTCTGCTCCTCCTTCTCCCTCTGACCACATCCCACCACCCCTGGCTCTGAGCTTTCTTCCCTAGGGGGTTCCCCCCCCCCAATCCTCTGCACCCGGCCAGTCATGACACAAAGGCAACTTGAAATCAGCCGAATTTCTGAAATCCCTTTAAAATGGTAGAATGATTGGCATTAAAAGCCGGTTGGAAGAAAAACGTTTTCGGTGGTGCTCTACGAACAGCTCTGAAAGTTCTTCCTGGTGTTTAGCTTGAATCTCCTTTCTTGTAACTGGAAGCCACGGGTTCGAGTCCTGCCCTTGAGAGCACAATGTGGCAGCCATCTTTAAATATCTGAAAGGTTGTCACATGGAGCAAGCTTGGGTTGGAATGGATGACCCCCGGGTCCCTTCCAGCTATGATTCTATGAAAAAGATGGATGGCTGAGGGTGCAAAGATTATTATCTTCTCTTCCTGAAGCTGAGTTACAGGTGCCAACTAATATACCCTCGAAAGGTCAGGAAGGACGTGCTATTGCAGGTGCCAGCACAGAGGAGGCTCATAGGGGGATGTTGGGTCAAACAAAATAAGATCAAATCATTATTATCACAGTCCGTGACATCACAATGTAAAGCGAAACAAATTTTGTTGTTGTTGTTTAGTCGTGCCCGCTTCTTCGTGACCCCCTGGACCAGAGCACGCCAGGCACTCCTGTCTTCCACTGCCTCCCGCAGTTTGGTCAAACTCATGCTGGTAGCTTCGAGAACACTGTCCCACCATCTCGTCCTCTGTCATCCCCTTCTCCTTGTGCCCTCCATCTTTCCCAGCATCAGGGTCTTTTCCAGGGAGTCTTCTCTTCTCCTGAGGTGGCCAAAGTATTCAGCCTCAGCTTCAGGATCTGTCCTTCCAGTGAGCACTCAGGGCTGATTTCCTTCAGAATGGAGAGGTTTGATCTTCTTGCAGTCCATGGGACTCTCAAGAGTCTCCTCCAGCACCAGAATTCAAAAGCATCCATTCTTCGGCGATCAGCCTTCTTTATGGAAACAAAATTAAAGAAGCATAAAACACAATAGGGGATTCTGGGTGTGGTTTGCCAGCTGCTGAGAGCCAGTGATGGCTGTGTGGTTAGGACCTGGGAGGGACCTGGGTTCAAATCCTCCACTCGAGCACGAGGCTCACTGGGTGTGACCCATAGCAGGGAGTTCCAAAGGTCAGTTCTGATTTTATTTTGTTTTTCTCCAAAAAAAAGTCATTTCCTGGTGTTTGTTTTGCAGAAGCAGTTCATAAACTCTCCTGTCTCCTTGAGTCGGAAGGGGTTATCTATAATTAACTCCCGTCCCTACTTTAAGGCTGCCGCTGTCCCTTGCTTGACCGTCTCCTGTCTCCCTCCCCTTCCACGCAGGAATCCACCTCATCCTGGCTGGACAAGGTTGTTCCACACCTGGCAGAGATCATTGAGCTGGAAAACATCGCTGCCATCCAACTGCAAGTGGGCTTCCTCGCAAGAGATTTTCCCGATGTGCAGTGAGTTCCCGCACTCATTTTTTGTGGGGGTGGAGAGGCCAAACCTTCCTTAATTGCAGGGGGGGGGTGTTGTACCCATCAACATTTGTAGCAGAACATTTCCCTGATCTGAAGGCCAGGAAAAAAACAAAACAGGCAGCATCTCGTGAGAATGTAACATGGACAGCAGAACTTAACAAGAGGTTGTCTGGGTTTGCCGAGTGCATAGGAAGACATTGACCCAGGACACGCCGGCTGCAAAAAAAATAAATGGTGAATTGCATGCCAGGAATCATTAGGAAATGAATTGAAAATATAAGTTCTGAAATCATAAATGCCATTAATGCAAATTACGGTGCAATGTGTGCTGTTCTAGTTGCCTCCCCCCCAAAAGAGATACTGTAGAGCTGGAAAAAGGTTCACAAAGGGCCACCAAAATGATCGAGGGGATGGAGAAAGGTTGCAGCCTCTGGGACTTAGAAAAGAGGCGACGTGATAGAAGCTTATAATCAATCAATCAGTCAATCAATCAATCAATCTTTATTATGAAGGCGCCCTAAAGACGCTAAAGCAAAGATTATGGGATAATACACACAGTGACTTGCGATCTCGATCATACACAGTCTGTAGTCTGTTGGCAATAGGAGTACAATATGGGCATGTCTTTAAGTTAACACCTTACATTAAAAACCAGTACCAAATTATCGAAGGTTATTCACCAAAGCCAGACTAAACTTCCTTCTGCAGTGTTGGATGGCAGGTTGAGAGGAGTTCCCTACCAAGACAGACTTTGCTCGTGTGCTCAAGACATCGATTCCATAAAACATATTTTGCTGCATTGTGCAAAATACGAGCAAGCCAGGGCTGAACTTATACTACCCTTGCTGGTACCTTTCCCAGGAAAATCAGAGGCTCACTATGTCAGGTTCCTATTGGAAGACCGGACAAACGCTAGGACATTAGCAGCGGTGAAGTTTTTATCGGTGGTTGCAACAAGCTTATAAAAATGAGAAAGAGAGAACAGAGAAAAGTTTTTCTCCTCCTCTCACAGTTCTAGAACTCGTAGAACATTCAAGGGAGCTTGGACGCTGGAAGAATCAGGGCAGATAAGAGAAAGTCCTTCTCCGTGCAGCGCAGTGTTTAACTGCGGAACTCTCTGCCACAGGAGGCAGGGATGGCCACTAACTTGGATGGCTTGAAAAGAGGGATGGACAAATTAATGGAGGAGGAGAGGGCTGTTGAAGGCTACTAGCCATGAGGCCTTTGCTAATAATAATAATAATAATAATAATAATTTATTATTTATACCCCGCCCATCTGGCTGAGTTTCCCCAGCCACTCTGGGCGGCTCCCAATCAAGTGTTAAAAACAGTACAGCGTTAAATATTAAAAACTTCCCTAAACAGGGCTGCCTTCAGATGTCTTTTAAAGATAGGATAGCTGCTTATTTCCTTCACATCTTATTTCCTTCACATTCCTTCACTACCGAGAAGGCCCTCTGTCCGGTTCCCTGTAACCTCACTTCTTGCAATGAGGGAACCGCCAGAAGGCCCTCGGCGCTGGACCTCAGTGTCCGGGCAGAACGATGGGGGTGGAGGCGCTCCATCAGCTTAATCCTCTGTCTTTGTGATGCTACTTCAGAACAGTTCCTTTTCTGCATCCTGAGTGGCAGCAGCTTCTGCGGAGCCACAAGGCTGTTGGCAGGGGCCACCGAGGCCTCACCCAAGTAATTGCCTGACCTCCTGATCCCACGCGAACGGGCCCTTGGCCAGCGCCAGGCAGCCTCGCTCCGTGCGAACGAAGCACCTTGCTCAGAGCTCAGTTATCCATCAAGGTTGCGATCTTCCATCAGGAGAGGAAAAGGCCCATCAGGTGGGGATGTGCGCAACCTGAGGCCGTGGCTCCCGGCCAGCCAGGAAGCTTCTCAGGCCCCGAAACAGGACGCTCCAGACCTTGACCTCTTCCCTGCGGAGAACCAAAGCCAGCGGCTCAGGGCCACAGCGGGGTCAGCGGCCGCTCAGCGCCTATTCCAGGGCCGTGGCTGGAGGTTCTGGCGTGGATCGGGCAGCCCGGTCGCATCTTCTGAGGGTGCAAGAAGAGGAGACAAGGGAAGCGTGCTTAGGTGGGACTTCCTAAGAGGAGGAAAAGCAGCTCCCCTGGGGGACCCGGCTGCTCAGGGAGGATGCCTGTCCTCGCGCCAGTTCTGAGAGGGAGCTAGATAAAGTTTCTCAGCACTGCGGAAAAGGGTTGGGCTCTGTGGTCGGTTGACCCTGTGGTCGTGTGGCTCTAATCTACACAGAGGTCCTCTCTCTCTCTCTCTCTCTCTGCCTCTGGCATCCTCTGCCTCTTTCCTGAACGGGGCTGAACGTTGGGAGGTTCAGGACAGATAAAGTCTTCCTTGACGCAGCACAAACTATGGAACTCCCTGCCACCGGAGGCAGCGGGGATTAGACAAATTCATGGAGGAAAGGGCTATCGATAGCTGCTGTGCTCTGAATCCACTGTCAGAGGGAGCAATACCAGTTGCTGTGGAAGGGAGAGAGCTCTTGTGGTCGGATCCTGCTTGCTGGTCTCCCAGTGAGGCATCTGCTTGGCCTCTGCGTTGAGCCTGTGCTTTGCAAGCAGGCGGGTTCGATCTCTCGACATTTGTATCCTGAGAACAGGATGTTGGACTCGTGTTCTAATGGAGCCTCCAGGTCCAGAGGCAGTCTATATAGATTCCTGGGTTCTTAGGGGTATTTGGCTACTACTCTGAGAACAGGATGGGATGTGGGTGGCGGTGTGGGTTAAACCACAGAGCCTAGGGCTTGCCGATCAGAGGGTCGGCGGTTCAAATCCCCACGACGGGGTGAGCTCCTGTTGCTCGGTCCCTGCTCCTGCCAACCTAGCAGTTCAAAAGCACGTCAAAGTGCAAGTAGATAAATAGGTACCACTCCAGCGGGAAGGTAAACACCGTTTCCGTGCGCTGCTCTGCTTCGCCAGAAGCGGCTTAGTCCTGCTGGCCACATGACCCAGAAGCTGTACGCCGGCTCCCTCGGCCAATAAAGCGAGATGAGCGCCGCAACCCCAGAGTCGGCCACGACTGGACCTAACGGTCAGGGGTCCCTTTACCTTTACTGAGAACAGGATGCTGGGCTGGATGAGCCCCTTTTGGCCTGACCCAGCTGGCTCTTCTCATGTCCTTGCCTTCACCCCCACCCACCCCACCCCTCTTTTGACAACACACATTCCCAATATATCTTCCTAACTCCTGCTTGACCCCTGAAGCGGAATGTGAGGCAGGTAGCTCAAGTCCCTTAGGGATGCCAGAGGGTGTCTTCCTCCTTCCTCCAAGGATGGCCAGAGGAGTCACTCCCGGTTTTCCCAGGATGGAGGGGAGGCTGGCAAGCTATAAATACCCGCCGCCTGCTTCCACGCTGCCCTCGCGGCTCCCTCCAGCTGCCAGCCGGCTGCGTCACTCAGAGAGGGCGAAGGCGCTGCCTTATCGTGTCTCCTCTGTTTGTTTCCCTTTCCATCTTCCTGCTTATTGCATCCTTAGGAATTGTTTCGGAGGCGACAGATTGCCCGCTAAGTGTGGCTGGTGGACGTTTCCTGTTTTATCTGGACCATTTTGGGTTTCTTGTTTCTTGGAAGGGGAGAGAGAGAGAGAGAGAGAGAGAGAGAGAGAGAGAGAGATTCAGCAGGAGAAAAACAAGCAGCTGCCTTTCAGACGGGAAGTGGGCTCTGTAGCAACTTCCTGGAGTGGATGGCAGGGCAAGAATTGGACTGGCGGTGCTGGGAGCCAGAGGTCTCTGCGACCCTTTTAGGCTAGTGAGGTGTTGTCCTGAATTCTTGGAGGAAGAAAAGGTTTTGAGAATGTTGAGGACTGGAGCAAAGTCCGCCCAGCGCCATGTCTCTAACTTCAGGCCTTAGGAAGGGAGAGCACAAACCTTGTAATAATAATAAGAAGAAATTTGTTGCGCCCCTCTGACTGGGTTGTCCCAGCCACTCAGCATGCGAATGGATGGATCCAGATTAATAGTCAGCCTCTGGGTCCATAGAGCCCATCTTTCTCATATACAGACACACACATGCACACAGATCTGGAACCACAGGTCATCCCCGCATCTGGAGCCAGAGCAGGATCAGGCCCCTGACTCGGCCCAGCTGGTGTTTGTTGCAGGGGAACCTGTGCAGACTGGGGCTCTTCAGAATCAGGCCCCAGACTTGGTTCAGGTGATGCCTGAGGCGAAGGATCTGGTGCAGACTGAGTCTCCTCTGGTTCCGAGTCCGAGCCCAAGGATCGAGTTCTGCATTTTAAACTTTCTGGCTATTAAACTTTTGCACAGCAGGAGCCTTGAACCCTGAAAGATTCCCCCAAAGTTGCCCTGCTGAGCAATCACCCTAATGCTTCCCTTTGAGCTTGCACCTCAGCCAGTGTGGTGTAGTGGTTAAGAGCGGTAGCCACTTAATCTGGTGAACCGGGTTCGCTTCCCCGCTCCTCCACATGCAGCTGCTGGGTGACCTTGGGCCAGTCACACTTCTTTGAAGTCTCTCAGCCCCACTCACCTCTCAGAGTGTTTGTTGTGGGGGAGGAAGGGAAAGGAGAATGTTAGCGGCTTTGAGCCTCCTTAAAGGGAGTGAAAGGCGGGATATCAAATCCAAACTCTTCTTCTTCTTCAACCCGGCTGCAGCTTGCAGGGGAGAAGGGAACAGATCCTGTTGCCACAGGAGTATTGCAGGGAGGTCAGGGAGGAAAGAACAGCCCCCCCCCCGGTCACCCAGAATCGCCACCCTCGCCGGACCGTGCTCCCAGAGAATTGCGGAGGAAGGAAGCTCTGCGCTTTGCCAGGCGAGACTTCCTCTGAGAAGACCCTGCTACGATGGGGGGTTGGCAGCAAGGCTGCTGCGCCCGGGTGGCAGCGGTGGGGATGGTCGGCAGGGGACGGATGCAAATTCCTAATTAGCAGAGGCCTTTCCGAAGAAGCTGGGCGACTTCCCCTGCGCACCGCAGGGTTCTCCGGTGCTGGGAAAGAGGACCTCAGAGGGCCCATTAATGCGGCGGCCAGCCTTGCGCCAGGCCTCTCGCCCCCGCCTGCCGCGCTTCTGGGCAGCCGGCAGAACGGGGCTCGGCTGATTACACGGGCCCAGCGCCAGCTTCCTGAAGTTAACGAGACATCCGAAGCAGCAGCAGCAGCAGCAGCAGGGCTTTAAATAAACCGTCTCGCAAAGGCGCGTTTTTGTGGAGCCAGGGGGCAGCTCCTGCGGACCCTTGCCTCGCTTGGTCGTGGGGGCAGCGGCGGGAGAAGGGGCGAGAGGGGGAGGACAGAGCTGTTTGGGTCTGGGGTAGGGCTGGACCAGGGGTCAGCAACCTTTATTCAAAGTGTTGGTGCTGATCTTTAAAGCCCTAAACGGCTTCGGTCCTGTATACCTGAAGGAGCATCTCCAACCTCCAATCGTTCAGCCCGGACTCTGAGGTCCAGTGCCGAGTGCCTTCTGGCAGTAGTGAGGTTACAGGGAACCAGACAGAGGGCCTTCTTAGTAGTGGCGCCCACCCTGTGGAACACGCTCCCTTCAGATGTGAAGGGAATAAGCAACTATCCTATCTTTAAAAGACATCTGAAGGCAGCCCTGTTCAGGGAAGTTTTTAATATTTAACGCTGTACTGTTTTTAACATTTGATTGGGAGCCGCCCAGAGTGGCTGGGGAAACTCAGCCAGATGGGTGGGGTATAAATAAATTATTATTATTATTATTATTATTATTATTATTATTAATCAGCTGTGGGCCATGTGGGGGGGCTGGACTATATTTTTTTGGGGGGGGGAATATGAACAAATTCCTATGCCCCACAAATGACCCAGAGATGCATTTTAAATAAAATGACATGTTCTACTCATGTAAAAACACCAGGCAGGCCCCACAAATAACCCAGAGATGCATTTTAAATAAAAACACACATTCGACTCATGTAAAAACACACTGATTCCCGGACTGTCCGTGGGCCGGATTTAGAAGGTGATTGGGCTGCATCTAGCCCCCAGGCCTTAGGTTGCCTACCCCTGGGCTGGACCAAAGTTATTTATTTTTTTGAATGTTGGTTTTTGTGTTTTGTGTATTGTTATTTTTCAATATTTTTCGTGCTGTTGTTGTGTGGAAAATACTAATAAAATTTATAATAAATAATAATAAAGGAGATTTGCCTCAACGCTGTAAGCTTCTGGGGCAGGCGTGTCTAAGCAAGAGCATTTTTAGCAGGTGCCAGAAGTACAGGGAAGGCACTTGCATGAGATCAAGAGGCAGGGAGTTCCAAAGTGTAGGTGCTACCACACTAAGAGAAATGCAAAGCATTATCCCATCCGATTGGGTTGCCCCAGCCACTACGGGTGGCTTCCAACAAATATATAAAGATACAATAAAGAATCAGACATTGAAAACTTCTCTTCCTCCAAGATCAAAGTGTTCTGGGGCTTAATTTACGAGGAGTTGAAAAAAATGTTTGGAATAACTTTTTTAAAAAGACCAGAGGCATTTCTTTTAAGCATTGTTGGCAGGGACATCCCAAAGGCCTTTAGGGAGGTATTCTTCTATGCAACGGCCGCAGCTCGGACTTTGGTGGCAAAAGGGTGGAAGGAACAAGAAGCCCCGACAATAACGGACTGGCATTACAGGCTACAAGAATTTGCTGAAATGGCGCAGTTAACCAGTACCCTGAGAGGCAACTCAAAACAAAAATTTATGGAAAAGTGGGATAGATATAAAACATATGTTCAAAAATACAGTAAAGGTTCGCTATCTATGCTAGTGTTTGATTGGCGTTGGAGTGAGATTGAGTTGAGAAATAAGACTGAGAGCACATATTGATATAGGAATGTATTAGATAATATCTAAAGAAATATACAATAATAAGAGTACATTTATTTCTAAAAATGGAATATACAATGGGAAAGACTGGAAGTCTAGTGTGTTGGTATGTATATGATTTGGGGGGGATTTGTTTTTGTTTCTTCTCTTTGTTCTTTTTTTGTTTCATTTTCTTTCTAGGTATATAAAATTTGTATATAATTTTTGCATACATGTTGGAAATCATAGTAAGTCCTGTAATGTAAGGGACGCGGGTGGCGCTGTGGGTTAAACCACAGAGCCTAGGACTTGCCGATCAGAAGGTCAGCAGTTCGAATCCCTGCGACGGGGTGAGCTTCTGTTGCTCGGTCCCTGCTCCTGCCGACCTAGCAGTTCGAAAGCACGTCAGAGTGCAAGTAGATAAATAGGTACCACTCCGGTGGGAAGGTAAACGGCGTTTCCGTGCGCTACTCTGGTTCGCCAGAATCGGCTTAGTCCTGCTGGCCACATGACCCGGAAGCTGCACGCCGGCTCCCTCGGCCAGTAAAGCGAGATGAGCACTGCAACCCCAGAGTCGGCCACGACTGGACCTAATGGTCAGGGGTCCCTTTACCTTTTAAGTCCTGTAATGTAATATGACAACGTTTACCAATGTGATATAAGAATGTTAACAAATAAATAAAATGCAAATTAAAAAAAAAAAAGAAAGAAGAAGAAAAAACTTCTCTTCCTCCTTCTGCAGGAAGAAGCACGTGTCTGCCATCTTGGACATCCGCGGTCTGCAGAACCAGTCCCACCGGCAGGACATCCTGGCCGCCATAGAGAGCCGGGAGCTGACCGAGGACGGGGAGGTTCCCTGCCTGGACCGGGCCTTCTTCAACGAGATCCCCACCAGCAAGGTCTTCTGCGTCCGCCTCCAGCTGCGCTGCGTCTCGGTCCTGGGGGTGACCGGACTCTCCCGGCTCCGCCAGATGCCTTGGCGGCGGCAGCAGCAGCAGCGGCGGCAGCAGCACAGGCGGCGGTCCAAAGAGAGCGGGGCCGAGTCGCAGGTGTGAGGACAGGCGCCCCGCCAAATGGTGGACTCCCTCTCTCAGCCACCAGGTTACGGGGCAGGGGCTAGGAGCCTCCCACGGGGGGGTGCCTTTTCTGCCCCCCCCCCAGAGCCGCCCACTGCAGGGCTCACACTCCAAACAAGGGCTGCGGCATCCGCTCCCTGCAAGAGCCAGCTGAATCTGTTGTCTGCATTTTATTCCGCAGCCCAGATTTCGCAGGCATCCTGGCTGCGTTTCAAAGCACCTGGGTAGTTGAAGGAAAGGACTCCTCTCCTATTAACTGGGCTGCAGGTTTAGAACTTTAAAACTAAGGTTGCAAATGGGGACACGGAGGAAGAATTTTATCCGTTAAAGAAGAATCCAGTTCTGCCTGGAACAGGGAAAATCGAGCCACTGGTGTATCTTGAGAGATGGGCAAAATCATTTATTTAAGTTGGGTTGGGAACCTTTTCCAGGCAGAGGGCCACATTTCTTCTGAATTAACCGCCCAAGGGCCACAGGTGGGCGGTGCCAGAGGTCAAAGTGGGCGGGGCAATGGATGTAAATTTTTACCAATGTATAGTGGGCTCGTTTCTGCGCATGCTCCCTCGAGAGGCAAACCAGAAACATCATCAGAGTTCCAGGCCAGGTGGAAACTTTCCAGCCGGCCCAGGGAGGAGTGTGGCCTGGAGAATGTTCTGGGGGCCACGTGGAGAGGACTCCGGGGGCCACATTCAGATCCTGACACACACCTACAACGTGAACTGTTCACACGTCGAGGCTCCACTGCATAATTCAGTTCTTATATGGCAAGAGATGTATTGGGGGTTACCCGACCCTCCGCTCAAAGTAGGGGGCACACCTCACCTCCCCCCACTTCTGCGACTCAGTTTCTCCCTTGGACCAGGGGGCGGGTGGTTGGCACAGGACAAAGCGAGGGATGGAGTAAGCGAGGCCTTAAGGGAGTAAGTATACCTGCTCTGGATGTATGTATGTATGTATAAATAAATAAATGCATATTAATTTAATACCACCGTTCCTTTTGCATATTTTGGGGTGCGTGTATAGCTCTAAACAGCCGCCAGCATCTTCAAATGAGGCCTTTCTCTGCTCTTGGGAATGTGGCTGGGTCAGGAGGGGAAGGGCTGGTACCACCAAGGAATTCCTGGTCCGTGTCAGTCGTAGACTCATAGAGCTAGGGAGTTGGAAGGGACCTCCAAAGGTCATCTATTCCAACCCCCTGCAATGCAGGAATCTCAGCTAAAGAAGCCCTGACCGATGGCCATCCAATCTCTGCTTTAAAACGTCCTTCCGAGAGAGGCCGTTCCAATGGCAAGCAGCTATTATCCTCAGAAAATTATTCTTAATAAATTAGTTGGAATCTCCTTCCTCGTCATCTGAATCCAGCGGTTCAGGTGCTACCCTCTGGAACAGCTTGCCTACAAGGAAGGTTCCACTTGCGCTGTGGCTAGAAAGCACCGTTCCCCGGAGGTTTTCCATTTATAATGGGTCCAAACGATTTCCCCCTTGCCCTGTTCCTTTTCAAGGGCAAACACACTCTTTAGTGACAGATCGGAACAAATGGAGGGGACGACCTGTATTGCTGTTTGCTCCGACTGAGCACTAAAGAGTGATTTCCTCCAGGGAAAATGGTGAGAAGCCCAAAGAGAGAAAGACTAACTGCCTTCCAAGTCCCAAAGGTCTTTCAACTGTAATCTGAGGGCTCCCTTGGACAAAAAAAAAACAAGGAAACCAGCCAGGAAGACCAGAGCAAAACAGCAGTAGGCTGTAGGCTCGGTCTTTACTGAAGGCTGTCCCAACAGGACTCCCACCTGCCACAAGGTGGAACAAGATGGACGCCCCGAACAAAAGAGCCCCCAAACTTTTATTAGCAGCTAATCCCCATGTTACACCCCCCCCCAAACTACATCACTCATACATCTTGAAAGGGGAGGTCTGGTGGCCGTAATCTGAGCATCCTGGACCCTGCCCCATGGTTCCCCTTGCCCTCCACCAAACACCCATCAAGTGTAGCAAAAGAGATATTTACATTTCCCTGTTTCCCAGCCAAGTTCATCCCACCCTTTGGTCTTCATCTGGGTTTGTTATTTCTGGAATGGCTACCTGTCTGGCACTCAGGTATCAGGATGCCAGGAATTATCACTCAGGCAGAGGGGCTGCTGAGTAGCCGAGCTCATGTCTATATGAATTTCTGAAGTTTTCCCAGTGAGCCAGTACATAGATACATTTATCAGCGAATTCTTACATTTGCTATCGTTCAGCAAAGGCCCTTTGGAAAGGCAGGAAGAAACTGATGGTGGGGACAAATCACAAAAGTCACAAAAGCGATTGTGGTGGTTTTGGTAATGGGCTGCATGTGCATGATATCTGCTGGAGGGGCAACCCCCCCCCCAACCTAGACATAAACTCCTGCAACATCTACCTAGTCGCCTGCTGGCAAGATCCGCTCACCGTAGGTGACTAGGCCAAGCGCTCTTGAAAGCCTGCCTTCAGGAGCTAATAGCTCAGGGCTTGAAAGAACAATCGCATGATGTTCTTGCTAATGTGTCTTGATTGCTTTTTAGAGGAGAGGGAAAGCTCCCCTTCCTCCCCGCCTGCCATTAGTCCTTCTCCGGTGAGACTCAGAAAAGCTTCCAGGAAGACCCTTGCCCGCCCCAGCCTCCCCCCACTTAAGGGCTGAGGACGGGGACTCCCCTCCCCACACATCCGCCCCCCCCAACCTCCCAGACGCAATCAGGCAGGAGCTAACCTGAGGCTGGCTTAATGAGTTTCCCAGCCACACGGCTTAATTGCTCTCACACAGCCTCCTTCCTCTGGGATCTGCTGGATCCCAGCGGCTTCCCCCAGTGATGGAGGGGGCTGGGGCAGGGGGCAGGGCAGCGAGACGGAGTCAGAGTCCTGGACTCAAACCACCACCACCCCAGACATTTTGGTGCCTAAGGCAGAAAACATCCTATTCCTTCCTCCTCCAGTGGTGAATCATTAACAACTGAATGGCAGGTTTTAACTGTGCCCCAGAAGCTGTCCGAAGCAGCCCACTTCTGCCTCTTGTCCAACAGCGGGGCCCGGGGTAGCTTGCCACCTGAGCCGTTGGTGGGGCTTTGTGTGACGAAGGTTCGAGGTCAGGGCCAGATCATAATCAATTTGGAGACGTGGTTTGCAGACATAATGTTCTCCCTCCCTGGGTCAGGGGACATAGTGAGTCAAAGGTAGGCTTTGTGTGTTCCTGGAAATGTCCAAAGGATGGAGGTACAGGGAAGATCTTGGCTGGCAGAGCGCTGAGGGCGCTGGTACGAAAGGTCAAGTCCAAGGTGGAGGAAGCAAGAGTGCAAGGGGCCAGGGTTTGCTATGGCCAGAGGCTCAAGGGCATCCTGATCAAATTTGCAGATGACACCAAACTGGGAGGGGTGGCTAACACCCCAGAGGACAGGATCACACTTCAAAACGACCTTGACAGATTAGAGAACTGGGCCAAAATAAACAAGATGAATTTTAACAGGGAGAAATGTAAAGTATTGCACTTGGGCAAAAAAAATGAGAGGCACAAATACAAGATGGGGACACCTGGCTTGAGAGCAGTACATGTGAAAAGGATCTAGGAGTCTTGGTTGACCACAAACTTGACATGAGCCAACAGTGTGACGCGGCAGCTAAAAAGCCAATGCAATTCTGGGTTGCATCAATAGGAGTATAGCATCTAGATCAAGGGAAGTAATAGTGCCACTGTATTCTGCTCTGGTCAGACCTCACCTGGAGTACTGTGTCCAGTTCTGGGCACCACAGTTCAAGAAGGACACTGACAAACTGGAACGTGTCCAGAGGAGGGCAACCAAAATGGTCAAAGGCCTGGAAACGATGCCTTATGAGGAACGGCTAAGGGAGCTGGGCATGTTTAGCCTGGAGAAGAGGAGGTTAAGGGGTGATATGATAGCCATGTTCAAATATATAAAAAGGATGTCACATAGAGGAGGGAGAAAGGTTGTTTTCTGCTGCTCCAGAGAAGCGGACACGGAGCAATGGATCCAAACTACAAGAAAGAAGATTCCACCTAAACATTAGGAAGAACTTTCTGACAGTAAGAGTTGTTCGACAGTTGAATTTGCTGCCAAGGAGTGTGGTGGAGTCTCCTTCTTTGGAGGTCTTTAAGCAGAGGCCTGACAACCATATGTCAGGAGTGCTCTGATGGTGTTTCCTGCTTGGCAGGGGGTTGGACTCGATGGCCCTTGTGGTCTCTTCCAACTCTATGATTCTATGATTCTAAGGACGCAGACGAGGAACCCGGCTCAGGTCACATTTAAAGGTGACCTTTCCCCCTGCGTTTTCGGAAACCGCGTCACGAAGAAATGAATCACAGCCGTTCTCTGAAATTTGCATTGCTCTGAATTTTGACTGCGCACTGTGCTGGACCTAGGGGTAACCCGTGAAACGCGGTCCAGGACTGGTCCAGAATCTGAAGGTTTTGCTAGGAGTCAGTCTGACAGGGCCAAGGCAGGAAACCAGGCAAGGACAGGTACAGGATCTCAGGCAGGATCTAGCATACAGCAATGTTAACCTGGGGTGGGGTCCGACAGCCTTTTATCTTTGTCAGGGTAGTGGCCGTTCCTGATCCCCCGGCGACTCACCTCCCTGTCTTGCCCAAAGGCAAGCACTCCTCCTGCAAGTACTCAGGTCTCTCCTCCTCTCAGACCTCAATCTCTGCAGCTCCGGAGACGTCGGTGGGTGACTAGACCCAGGGGCCACCTCAGCCTCCCCTGACCCAACCGGTAGTGGAGCAGCTGTAAGTGATGGCCCACCTGGAGGCAACGAGGGAACCCCCACATCTGGAGCCAGGGCAGGCTCAGGCCCCGGACTCAGCCCAGCTGGTGTTTGTTGCAGGGGAACCTGTGCAGACTGGGACTCTTCAGGATCAGGCCCCAGACTTGGTTCAGGTGATGCCTGAGGCAAAGTATCCGGTGCAGACCAAGTCGCCTCTGGTTCCGAGTCCGGACCCGAGTCCCAGGCCATCACACACACCTCCACTAAAATAGTGCTCACAGAGTGGCACATACGAAGGCAAAGTATGCAATATAAGATGCCCGTAGCAGGGGAAACGGCATGCAAGAATGCATCCTATCAAGAATGCACAAATCGCTGTGCAAAAATGTTAGCAAATCCCTGATAAAAGGCTGCTGAATTTTCACAAGGGCCTAAAAAGCACATTGCAAACTGATGTGCAAATATAGAGAGCTGAGCTTTTGATTGGAAAAAGGAGGAACTGAGAGAACTAGAAAGAGAGAGATTTTCCCTTCCCTAGCCAGAGCTAGGACCAAATAAATTCAGGAGGGGACGGTGGAAGAGGAATTGTTTGTTTAAATAGATATATATTTATTTATATAAACACACACACACACACACACACACACACACACACACACACACACACATATATATAGATATATTGTTTCTTTAAAACCATGAACCCGAAAAGATTACTTGCAGGGGTGCACTCTGCACATGCTCTGAGGTACTCTAAAAAAATAAAGCATGAGCCCAGTAATGGATCCCCTTCTCAAATGGAATTAATTCCTTCCCTTTTGAGGCTCCCATTTTCTGAGGGGAGGGTAAGGCAGGAAGGTCGCCAGGAAGGGACACTCTGTGCAGGCTCAGAGGTGCTCCACTCTGAGTGCCTGCATCAGAACGTGACTTCCAGATGCACCCAGAGCCTCTCAAGTTACATCTCGGCTGACAGGCTTGCGTCCTCTTCAAACTTAGTGCAGCCAACCAGCCAGGGATTTAACAACAAGCCTCCTGTTTTTTACTGCCTGCCAGGAATTGCTGGAGACAAACACCCGCATATTCAAAATCTGAGCCTGCAACAAAATGTTGCAGCATGACACCTTCGCCTCCTAAGAGGAATGCCCCACCTGCTCAGAACTGCGACCAGCCAGCCAGCCGTGTCTGGATCCTAGATCCCTTCCACCTCTACGAGTCTAAAAACCTCCCAGTACAGGGGTGCCTTCAGATGTCT